TCTGATGCTGGTAAAAATTTCCTCATGGGCTTTTTGCTGACTTTTTGAAAGGAGAATTATACGGAAATCATCGTAAATTTACCTGTTTATTGGATCAGAAATATATTCAACTATTCAAAAACAGTTCTTTTTTCACCACATGTTCTTTTCAACAAGGAAAAACCCTATCAATACAAGGCAATTGACCAGTGATGTCTTGATGATGATATTATTAGAGGTCACTAGACACACGCAACAATTTCACAATTTTTTTCATTTTAGCTTCAAAACAACGTAATGTAAAGATACAAGACCACGCACAACATAAACCTGACTTTCACTGAATTATTGTACCAACTGGCTGGATGATGTGCACACATACAAGACTTTCGTGATTGCATCTGCAAGAGTTCAATTACATCCAGCAGACTTGACTTGACTATTTAACCAATAACCAATGTTGTCAAAAAAGCAAATGTTGACACTGCACTAACCCTTGCGTCTTTTTAGTTACTGTTTTGTTTATTCCTCATGATCAACATAATCACACATTATTCCTCATTTCAAGGTGTGTACAGTATGTTTACTGTGATATCATGATGACATCATCACGTGATTACTTACGATTTTTCTTTTCAATTTTCTTGTTTGTTCTCTCTTTTCTACCTTTTTCCTGAATAAAATTAGGTATTTTCAAAATGTTTTGTGAGACCATTGATAAATGAAGTAGATTTTGTGAGATGATGACTTGATCAATTGTGTAAACACAGGTGAGGCAACTTTTGATCATCATCAACGTAGTCAGGTAGGTACTAGGTGGTAGAGGGACACTTCTTGTTCATGTCTTGAAGTCTTTTTTTTTAAATAGCCATATTAATCTTGCAAAATATCAAATGTTCAAATTGTTTACTCTTCTTATTTACGGATCTTGGTAATTTTAAATGTATATAATAACAAGATCCTTGCTTAACAGCAGCAGATGAGCTATGCATGGATGCCAAATAGGGCCCCACTGTCCGTTCTCTGACATGGGTAGTCATGTAGTTAATAATACTGATGGACAGTGTTGATTCCATTGCCCCCACTTGGTCGTCATATTGGAAAGATAATTTGCCAAGTGTAAAGCGGCATCCGTGATTGCATGTTATTATTAGTTGAGTGCTTCTGAGCACAATTAAGGCATCACGATGGAGGGAAAATTTTGATAGGAGTATTGCTGATGGGCAGTGAAGATATAGTGAGATTACAGTGTTGATGCATCTCTCAATTTACAGGGGATATTGCTGTTATTAAAGTGATGGTTTGGTTAAACTGATAACAAAACTTGGGTTTTTCTGCTCACTTCTTTTAGTGTTTTGCTAGCAACCATTTTGTGGCCCTCAAATTTTTTTCTCCAAAATATCAAAGGTATTTTAAGGTTGTATTGGATGGGCTTTATCTTCTCAATCCTGCAAAATACTCTACAAGAAAAGTTCTTGTTGGAATGTGAAGGATTTGTCAGGTATGGGATTAAACTGTGTGTTTATCAATTGTACAGGTGCACTGTGAATCAACTACCATGTTCTGATTGATGAATATGTTGATCACCTGCCATTGAATTATTTACCTTAACAAACACCACAGAAATTCCATTCAACTGGGTAATGGAAGTTCCACAGTGTAGTCACAAGTTGGCAATGTAAGGATTTATTTAGGTACTGTTCAAAACAAATCATAAATTCTTCACATTTATGCAATGGAAAGAATAATTTCATGAGGCGATGATTGAATTGTCCGTTCTATGAGGCTGAATCCCCTCATGAAATTATTCTTACTGTTGTTGTCAAAGATATTCATTATTTGTACAGCATAGTTTCTGTTGCGGTGCTGTCATTCCAGGAAGACACTGTCTGAATCATGTTCAACTTTTAAACCCAAAATCTTGTGGAAAGCATGCCTTAGAAACAGTTGCTGCAGTTGGTACACAACAGCGAATCATCAAATTAAAGGAAATCAAAACAGCAAAATGTTGAAAATTCAAGCCTTTCTTGTGCACAAATCAATGAACCACGTAGGTTTTCTGCCTAGAATGACATCACAATTTGCTTGTAAATATAGCAATTATCACTAGCATGAAGGCCCAAATGAAGTAGGCCCCCCCCCACAAATAGTTGCCCTGCTTGATATTCAAAAACAAAAAATAGGCCTCTTTGTGGAAAGCCACACCCCTGTTTGCCTCCTTTCTCGTGGGGAAGTTTATTAGATACTGTTTGCTGCATTTGTGGGACATTTGTAAAGCGGAAATAGGGGAAGAAGGCTTTTCCACTTTCCCTTGCTCTAGATGTGCTCCTGTCTGTCTAATCAACTCCCCCTTGGTTTTGTTATTTTCTTCTGGGCGCAGGCTGATCTGAGTTTGCCAAGGGGAGTTGGGGAGAAACTGCTCCTGCGAGTGATGGCTCGGGCAATAGGCCTCGGAGAGTCTGCGTTGCTGCCTAAACGAGCCATTCAGTTTGGCTCTCGCATCGCAAAGGTGGAGAACCCCAAGGAGAAAGCATCCCACATCTGTAGCAGGCTGCTGGAAAGATAAAGACACAGGGGACCAGCCCTCAAGACCATCATTTGAAAGAGAGAGAGCCATTTCACTGGTGACCAGCATATCCATCAAGATATTATATCCTAATTGTCTCTTGCAGAAGGCACTGTATGTGACCAGTAGAGGGCTCTAAATTTGTTACCTAGCTTTGATGTCCAATTAGGCTGATATACTGCGTGTATACATGCATGCTTTTTTTCTGTAGTTCTGGAGACTATTGTGCAATAGGAGATGTTGTGCTATAGTTGTGAGGAACCAAAATGGATGGGTGGATGGACACGAAGGATGGATCCAGAACAATATTTGGAGGGGGGGTTGAGGGGGACAACCTATAACCTATCTGTCTGTAACCTATTGTGGTATTTCTGAGGGTTGAGGCTAAATTTTAGCACTGTTTGCACACTGTAGGGAGGGAGGGAAATGAAATTCACCCCCCCCCAAATCATTCATCTCTCATTACATTTCAAAAACCAGTTACCTGGACCTGATTCCCCCCCCCCATCTACTAATGGGACACACCATTACCCATTAATCTGGTCCAAATCATCCCAGAAAGGAAAATTCTCCATGATACACTGCTGGGAAGGGCTCTTGCTCATGTTTAAGTGAAGATAAGTATAACGGTACAAATAATACGCACAAACTATGGTGGATGCAATCACTAAACTCTGTATACAGACTGAAATAGTGCATCAAGATCTGGGGGTTGACTGGTCCCCATCCCAATAGTTAATAAAGTATAGGGAGTGGTAGCTAGTTTGCATTTGACACCGTTGATTGGCCCTTGTGCGTTCATGCATAGTGCATATGCCTCTTTTTTTTCTCTTTTTTTTTGAATGTTTTTGTCAGTATGTGCTGGTTTTATGTTTATCGATAACATACATCACATGAATCGACAGCACCCGAAACTCCCAAGATAATCAGTCAATTGTCATTCCCACATTTATCACAGGGTATGTATGTTTCTGATCTGATCACTAATGATCTTTGTACACTGACTATAGTCAGTGTACAAGTCAGAGTACAGAGATCAGCCGCTCACTAGTGAAAACCCACAGGGTGTAAAGGGTTCAAATATTGGCCCAGTGTTTTTGTGAATCACTTTGACTTTATTGTGATATCAGGCATAAAGATTACTCATTTGTGGGTCCCCTACACTTATAATTCACATTGTACACTCCACTTTGAATGTCTGGCACAAATGTTTTTATTTCACAAATTCACATCAATGACACTATGACATCGTGGATGATGTTGGAAAATAACCAACATGAACAGATAGGAAGGCCCTATCTTTGTGACTTGTTTTATCCATAAGTACTTTTTATGCGCGAGATTCATTGATTCTCATCTTACATTATACCCCAAAAAGGGAAGTTGCAAGAGTGCCAGTCTGTTACCATGGCAACATTTAGCTATACCTGATCATCAAGTTGAAGTTTCAAAAGAAATCTTTATGATAGTCGGACACTTCAAATGAAGAAACAGCGCTAGAGTGTTTGTTTTAACTTACTACCACCATATGGTGGAACAGGATACATCCCTTCCAATATTTCAGTCTGTTACCCATAGAATATGAGCGATTCACAAAAGTGTGCCTCCAAGAGTTGGCAACGGGTTGACCAATCACAGTGCTTGAAATCTGGCGATCCTTTCTAAACGCGCATTCGGTCGACAGATTTCACGCACAGTGATTGGTCAATGCATTGCAAGCCCTTTGAGGCACACTATTGTGAAATGCCCTTTGGTAAATTGTAAAGAAAGAACATCTGCTAAGGACCAAGTCCCAAGTGCTTGTTACAGCTGGCAATGATGTGCAATAATACAGAAATCTAGCATCTTCCATAGCACCTTATTATACTCGTAATCAAGTCATTCTGACATGGTCTGTGTGTGTGTTAAATTACTCCAATGTAGCATCCATAATTCCATGCAGGGAATAGCCAGTGACAAGTTATGGACATGCCAGGTTGTGAAATGCACTCGAAAATAATCCTAATTGCGGTCTTCTGGATGGGCACACAACTGGTTTTGATAAATGATTTTGACAAAGCCTGTACATAAATCCCCATTGTCTAATTGGTGAGTTATCAATCGTGTATTGCTGAATGATTTGTCCCAGCACAACGCGGCTTTAGTGCAGAGACGATTTTTCCCTCATTCACAGTAAATTCTCAACTCAAAGATGATGCAGGTATTCATTCAGGATGTATTCATGTCTCATTTTAAACAAAACAAAAGATTTTTACATTCAGTATGATGAAGCATTGAAATAAAACTTTAAACTGAACCATATCACCCTGCTTTGGAATGGAACACTCTTTCTATCATCCCATGATTTTTTTACCACTGCAAATATTACTCAGTAATCACAGGGACCATATCTGGGGCAATGTCTCTCTATACAGTCATTGACCCAAAGTAGAAACATATGTACCGGTAGCGTATGGAATGTGTACAGGTCCCCTTTCAGTTTTATTGTAGTCTGATAACAATTTTGAACCTATTGTCATTCTCCATGCTTTGACTCTTTAAAGTGTGATTTCCTCTTACGAGTTGAAAATTAAGATTTTGGGGGGTTTGGCAACAGAATGGAAATTTTATCTGAACTAAAAGGCTCTGTTGTGTGTTTGCCTTTCTCTTTAGAGGAACGGTTGTGAGGACTTATTGAGTTGAGATGCAATCATTTTGAGGGGGCAAAATGTTGGTGCCCAAACCGGTGTGGCGGTCTCAGCTGTCTCTCGGTCTCAGCGGTCCCTCTGAATAGCCGGACATTAAACGGACGACTTTCCCGTTGTTGTGCGCAGAGATGGCATGACGTATATTTACCATATATGGTAAAGGGGACCGCTGAAACTGGGAGACAGCTGAGACCGCCACACCGGCCCCTTGGATTGCTGCATAGGCTCGATCCATGGTATAAGCATAAGATGCATATGAGTACATTATATGGTCTTGGTAAATCTATATACCCATGCACTGATTGATGCAAGGACCCTTGAAATAACAACAGCTGTCTAGGTAGCTAACCTGTCATTGAGTTACATGCATGTATTAACACCAACGCTTTTGAACTGTAATACATATATATATATATATAAATAGACTACTAGACTAGAATAAAATACTGCAATTAATCGTGAAACAATTACATGTATAACTCCAAGACTTTGCAGTCTACTTTTTACTTCAACAGCGTCGGAGTCTCTGTTGGATATCCTATTCATTCTCTTTGCCACATAAGACACACCCAATCGAAGCTGTCTATACCAAAGAGTGTACACGTGCATGCAACCTACACAAAGTTATTGCCAACAATAACAAAACAATGACCAACTTTCACTCGGATATTTACATGCTGCACCTAAAACTGTTTGGTCGTACTTCAATTTGAAACATTGCTGCTAAGCAAGTCTAATTACAGTGGGGCGGGGACAGACATTCTTTTCAGGGTTTTTTGTTTGGTTAGTTAGCACATTACAAACCGTACTACATGTTTAAATATTTGACATCCATTCTCTCCCCCCCCTTATACTTCGACACGCCATTATTGCGTCAAATGATATACACCGGTACTCTGTCATAACGGCTACAGTAGCAACGCTGATCAAATATGACACTCGTGTTCTTTATACTTGAATAGGCCTGAAGTACATCATACGACTTGCACCACTGACGTGGGTTTTATATGCATTATCAGGAAATAAACCCCTTAAGCAAGGGATCTGTTAGCATCAGACATTACGACTGCGTGTCCTGGAAACTGGAATGAACTTCAATGTGCCGGATTTTCACCCGGCAGCAAACTGACCGTGGGAGCGGCTGCGAAGCGGACTTTTACAAAGTAGGGGTGTGCCTCAAATGGAGATGAACCCAAAACATGAATGGACATATTTTAATCGATCATTGTTTTTAAAACTGTTAGACACATGTATAACCACGGGGGGGGGGAACCCAAGGGAAAAGTAAAGGTTTCCGTCTCCAAGAAATATATTATTTCATTACATTTTCGCGTCGAATTATTATTACCAACCATTCCATGACATTGGGCTATAAGTGTTTTCGCTTGTTCAATCTTGAATATTTCGAGGCCCTTTCGCTGTGTGGTCCTTTGAGCGTAAGATATCCACTTTTTGCCCCTCTGTTGTTGGATTATTCGTTTTGGTGCCCCTTTTCCGAGGTGATACGAGGACTGTTTTGAGATATTAATATAGGGAAGAGGGATTGTCAAGCCCTTTTTTGATAACTGAGACGCTATGATGTCGGGTCCCATTGATGTCACCTCCAATGTCTACGGTTAGATGATTCTGCGGCGTTGCTTCGGGGCATGCTACCAAGGTTACGTTTGCGTAAAAGTGATGCATGCCGTTTAACTTAAAAGCCTTTGCAAAGTGCACTCCACAATGCATCAAGTCCTCAGTTTGGGGGGGGGGGGTTAAAGATTTTGATTTGGAAGGGAAAGTCGATTGCTGGGAAAGCGCCTGGTTTTCCTCCCGTTAATTGAAACGTGCAGTTGAAATAATTTGATGACAGTACCCATTACCCTCTTTGGAAAATACATAATTTCTTTTCTTTGATGGGTTAAAATGGATTTAATCAGATTGCCCTGGAATCCCCTACTTCAAAATGCTCGATGTAGGTTATTAAACAATGAGACCTACCAGCACATTTTATGCCTTGTCCTAGATCCGATGGTGGCAAAAGTGCTCGTGGTACAAGTAGTTATGGCCTAGTGCTACGTGGACACACAATTAGATAATAATTAAGTACTAACTACACGTAATAATTGAAATTTCCCCTGGAATGGTCTCCAGCAGAAAAGTTTATCCTTCGTGAGTTATGTTGAAATTGTTTGCTTTTCAGCCATGTCGTGATGCGATGTACGGCTTCGTTTTGGCTTCAAATTATACACTATATGTGCAGCCACCACCATAGACTAGCGCATGATAATATTTTAAGCCTGAGTATGGCGTGCAAATTTAACATTTAATCCCAGAATAGATATATCTTTATCAATAATACAGATAATAGAGATATTTCTATTGCGCAATAGAGATATCTCTATTACATTTCCGCTTCCGAGGTCAGCAGGTCGCCCTCGACGTTTTGTGTTTAAAAATCTATTATCTTGAGGGGGTTTTGAATCGTGTCTCAGCCCTTGTACTCCCGTGGTTGTTTACTTTAGGAAACGTTACACAAACCCCTGGCTCAGTGAAGCAATCTCATATTCCTATTAGAGATATATCTATCGTGCGTCCTGTTTTAGTAGAGATATCTCTGCTATGTTTCCGGTCCCGCACACGGGGTCAGCGGAAAGGTCATTGTAACGTAACGCACAAAGTTTCACTGAGCCAGATATCGCTATTGTTAATAGAGATATTGCTATTAGGAACCGAGATATCTCTGTTAGAAGTGGAGATATTTCTGTAAGGAATAGATATATCTCTATTAAAAATAGACGTACCTGTACGCGGATGAAATGTTAACTTTGCGCGCCATACCTGAGCCAAAAGATTTGACACGGACGGATATTTTGTAATGTGTTGCCCCCTGGTATTTGAATGGTTCTGATTTCCATTCGACCCTATTTTTGACTTTTGACCGAAGCGGAAATTTTAAGCCTCCAACCGTGTCTGCAACATGACCAAGGAAATAAACACTCATTCCAATTTTATGGGGAAACCATTAACAGTAATGTCCTAAAGTAGGCCGTTAGCAGTTTTCAGCACTGGCACAAAAAAGCGGTCTACTCCATACAAAGCAGAGCAGTAACAGTCCACGCCACATGGATGGCTGAGGAATTTTGCGTAAGTCCTCACCACATCTTATTTTTCAGCGACTTTATTTGAAGTTGCAGGTTAATTAACGAATGACAGTTTCACAGTTTCAACTCCGAAAGTTCAAATCCACCAACCTCCTCGATGTGCAAATTACCTGTTGCATGTGCGTGCATGTGCGTACGTGTACTACCGTAATGCGGTAAATCGAAACTCGTGCGATTCTATTTTAAGATGTACTTTGCGTCGAGGAGATGTTGATTTCAATTATGGGATATACCCTCACTCAAACTAATAGTTATTAACACTATACTCAGTTCTCTCCGAGAGCTTTTGATAGAAATTCACAAGCTTACTCGGGCGGGAGTCGAACCCATGACCTCCTGCTTGTGCAGACGACTTTATGACCACCAACCTTGCCGGGGTTGTCTGGCTGATCCAAGTTAGATGCAGCAGCGGAGACCGTGAAAGCATTTCAAAATGTACTTTACGTCAGGAAAATGTTAATATTAATTATGGGATTTGCCCTTACACCTACGTAACTATATTAATTCGTGTGATTCTGTTACAGAGTGACATCATAGTAGTAATGGCGCACCCAACCCCAAGTGTTTTGTTTTTGTTTTCAGGAAAAAATATACGCACCTACGTCTTATACCACTAGCTCTGATATGGCCGTAAATCCCAATCCCGCGTGGCGCAGCTGAATAGGGAGGGAGGATTGAGCATTATGAGCTTGTTGGGGAGGGGGTAGGCCTACGTTCCGGTACTGAGTAACCTGCCCCACGACAAATCCTGGGTGCGCCACTGCAGCGCCCACATGCAGTTGAAGGAAATGTTTTGTCCAGATTAAGACACAAATTTAGAAAAAAAAGAGAGTTAGACTTAAGTGGATAAAAGAGTTAATTAATTGACTGGGACTTTGGACTATATGCCAGGCTTGATCGTAGCACTTCGTAGTTGATGCACCTATGCAGAATGGAAATTTTACCGAAAAATACGGAATTTGGGCTAATTTTTTCACATGAGAGCAAAGCAATCAGAATTATATTTAATTGAACACGCTGCATTAAATTACTTGCACTTGACATGCAAGGGTATTATTTACCAGCAATTCTTTTTCGACCAACCCTCCTCCAAGGCCAAATGTTCAAAAACGAGAACTGTGCAATTGAAACGGGACGCCCTAAACAATGCCATATACTCTGACGTATTAAAAAAAGAATTGCACGTTGTTAGCATAAATGATGTCAGCACTTGACGTCTTTGAAACGGAAGGATTGAGCCGGGTACCTGGATAGTTTTAAATGAAATGCGTTCAATTGTGAAAGACCTTTGAGAATGTTGATGGCATGACAGGGTGGTTGTTGTTATTTTAGTTTAGTCTTTTTAACTCACTGACAGTCAGCGATCATATCTGTGAAGCGAAAACACAACTGGCTCAACATTGTCCTCTTTGGATTATCCTGAGGAATTTTCTTTGGGCAATACTTTCTGGCTTACTTGACTAGTTTGCATCCAAGCTTTATTCCTACCTGGAGTTTCATCGCGCCCCGGCTAAAAAAGGGGGTTTTCCATGATTGGGCCTGGTGAAATTATACCTCACGAAAAGCAAAACTCTTTAGAGCAGTTATGTGATATTCAACACACGCGATGCAATCGTGGTGCAACATTCGTTGAAATACCGGCTCGAAACTCTTCAGCACAAACACCTTCACCCTAATTTGAAGGACACCCAAGAAGATTTGAAAATGCACTAAAAGTCAAATTCTGAAAGAAAGGTGACCGCCGGAATCTTACAAATGTACGACAGTGTGTTCCGATGACTTTGTACAAAGATATAGTCTATTCTGGAGGTTTGAAGCAACAGTGATAACAGGAGAGTATCTTGAAGACGGCATGACGTATGGCCGGTTGGGCGACTGCATAACAGAATGGATTTACTGCGCTTTGACACATCGAGAAAGCGACGACAGCCGCGTTGTAGTAAGCGGGTAACGGGGGGAAAGCCCCGGGATGCATGTCACAGATGCTGGTGATGGGAACGATGATGCCATACGGTAGCCAGCAGATGGCGTAAGAGGCTACAACGAGGCTGAGGGTCAGTGTGGCTTTCTTGTTATCTGCCTTGTTTTTTCTATAGCGTCTCAGGTTGATGTTTTCGTTTGGAACCGGGGATGATTCTGCCCTGTCCAGAGATGTTGAGACTGTTGGGGGAGCGGTTTCTGGTGGTTCACCTCGGTCTTCAGTCTTCAGGTTGCGGGATAGCTTGGACCCGGTTAGACTTGTACCAGCGGCTCTATGATTGCAAACCTGCTGCCCAAGAGCTGCGCTGTTCTGCTGGCAAAATTTGAGTTCGACGGTCATCACTGATATGGTCGGAATCTCTTCGCGGGAATTCCCGATGCCAAATGCGGTGAAATCGGTCGTTGCGTCGTCTTCGTGTGACGAGGTGTCATTCTTAGCCTTCATGGTCATCGTTGACTTCTTCAGCTTACCCTTTCTAACGGCGTGGATAGTGCGATAGACTCTGCAGTACATGATGAGGATAGCTGGGTAAGGGATCCACATTGCTAGGGCAATGGCTACTCCTGTGGAATAGTGGTTAGTGTTGTACATTGCAGTGCAAAACATATGGGGCAGAGCGTCGTCGCCTTCAACCACGCCCCAGACCAGGATGAAGGACAACCACACAAGAATGGCCACGCCCCAGGTAAGGAGGATCTTCAGGCCCGCCCTTCTGGTGCTGCGATCCTGAAGATGAGACAAAGGGTGTCGGATAGCCTGGTATCGATCATTGCAGATGATAAGCACGGTCATAATGGACGCTGACAAGAAAACGTGCTCCAGAGTCTTTATTAAGTGGCAAAAAATGTGGCCAAAGGGCCAGGCACGCCCCATGAGCTTCATCGACTCCTCCAGGACTGTGAGGGGCATGTTGATGGCCCCTATGCACAGGTCCGCCACGCACAGGTTGATAATGAACAAGTTGCCGTACGTGCGGAGTTTCTTCTCCGTGGAGAATGCACTGAGAACAAGGAGATTGCTAGGCACGGTAATGCACATTAAGACACCGCAAACCACTAAAAGAATCCAGGAAGAGATTGTCTCGCTCTGAGGGAAGTAGTCTTCCATGCGATGGTCACTACCATTAACCATTGCCATATCGCCCATGCCATGATGCCCAAGTACGTGGTGGAGCGACATCTTGGTCAAAGTCAGTGTCTAAGCTGGTTATGAAACCAATTGCTTTTTTTTCGGTTTAAAGGTGTTTTAACCACACAAGCACGTACACGGTAGCTGGTTGGAGCTGAGCTGGTCTGACATCCTGGTTTAGATTGGCAGTTTAGTTAAACATTGTTCGAATTATTTTGAGTTCCTGTTGATGTAGCGCTGGATGATCACCACGATTTCCGATTCAGCATTTTATAGTCAGAGGCTACTGATTTAAGAAGTGCCAAGTAAAAACATGATAACCCTTTGGCACAGACCGTGCTAAACAGTTCCGACGGCGAGAAGTTTTGTCGCCACAACTTCGTTCGCCCCGACCTGTCACGATGTGAGCGTTATTTGAGCGCACAGTGCTTCAAGCTGAAACGTGCATGGCCATTGGTTGTCCGTGCGTGTTACGCGCCAGCCAATCACGGTATGTAAGTTCAGATGCCGGTAACAACATGAAAAATAATGACCAGTGTCTCTTCTAACTATATTCACGGAGAAAAAATCTAGTAATCAGTTTTGCAAGTCAATAAACCACCGTCATGAAAAAGAAAATTGTCAGATGTGGTGACAATTTTCTGACAAACCCCTATGGCTCCACAGCTTAAATAGTAGCGTACATAACGCTCTGTTCCGGCCTGCGTCATCCATGACGTCATTGAAGTCACTGGACAGAGAGGCTGTGATAACCCTCGGCAATCTTTTGTTGTGATACCAGGATGATAGAAAAAATTTTTGTTAAAAAGGTAGGCATAGGAGGTAGTTCTTGCAACCTTTCTGGCAGATCAGTTTTCGGTGGGAGGGGAATTTACTGTCATCTGTTATTGTTCCTCTGTTTAGTTTCCTATCATTGGCAGACCAGAACAGGACGAAATGAGGGAAATACTTTAGATCTTCAACCATTCTGAATTTGTACGCAATTCGAAATTAGAGCAGAAACAGAAATCAAACCTTCTGGGCAGAAAAATAATGAAAAAATAAAGCTAAAAAATTGCATGGGAGGGCAAAAAAATTGCTGTCTTTATAATGTATTCTGCATGGCTTTTCCGGGATGTGAGGCTTATTTCGGGGACCTTTCACTCACTTCGGGGATGAAAATGAATTAAGTAAGCGCCAGAAGTTCTTCTCTCTGACGTCCGTGCCTCCATCGCCAACTGAATTTTAATATTGATATACGCAAAGCGTAGTTTACGGGCTCCCGTTGTACCTGAAAAAATGTCTTAATTGCCCGTTTATCTCCGCAGTTTTTTCTTGGTCATACCACTTCACTGTTTCACTTCATTTGGGGTTTAGATCTGCCAGTGTGCTTACATGTATAATAAAATGCGAATGGTTTTGCAGAAACCATTACCTCTTTCGAGAATTCTATTAACTGTATGTATTTTAGGAGGGCAAAAAAGATTTCTTGGTCAAAACATGGCTGTCCTATATTTTCAACCGAATCCTCACCCTCCCAGCAGGTGGGGTACCGTTCCAAAATTTCTGTTGGTTTTAACTGCAGCAAAAAAGCAACATGTCAGGAGGGGGTCAAACTGTCCCCCCCCCCATACGCCACTGACGGAATTGACTCGAGAACAGAACAGAGGAGAGATCATTTGGGTGTGCTGTGGGTGCACCCCCGTAAGTAGGCCCAAAAGCCTTCCACCGAGTCCATTATTAAAAATGATATCCTACACTCAAAATATTTCCTGTTAGAGAGTTGTTACAGCTATGAAATTGGCCAGGGGAATTGAAGAGATATTGCACTGAACCTCTGGCCTGGGACCTAGGGCTTCTAATTTGATGCGGTTTGGATGCAATAGGAAAGTTATTCAGCTGTTTTGGAGACTGCTTTTTCAAAATGGCTTCTTTTCCGGCCAGTAGGAAAATTTTCTTTATTTAGGGGTGGTCTGCTTTGGGTGAGACTATCTGCAAAAACGCCTATGGTGGGGCTGTTACGTGCATATTACGCTGCCATGGTGCCAGTTGGGATTACATTTTGAAATGCACTTGATAGAGAGTTCGCTAATATTAATCTTATCTAAATGAATTCTGATGGAGTTCAATGTGGGTTGTTTCTAGACAGGTCGGTAAGGCGACTCCATTCCAGAATTGTCCATGGATATAGTGAGTGAAGATAGTTGTTCTCGTTTGCCTGGATTAGTTGAAGATTTAATTGGTCTGTCTTAAGTTAATGAACGTTTGGAGTAAGGATGGTAGTGCACCGAACCTCTGAACCACTGAATAACTAAAAAAATCAACGGTCAACCCACTAAAAATTGAAAGGAAAATGAAAGAGAAAAAGTCGAACATAATTTTTCTGTGCGGCCTATAAACATCTGTGAGAGTTGTTGGTATTGTTGAAGAATGTCGAAGTACAGTACATGTACGAGGATTTATCAGCGGTGTCTATGGGAATTTACTTACTGGGGTGCACCCTTATGTTTCATTATAATTTTGTATATAGCGCCCTCGTTGACAACTATTGGTTCACGTAAACATGGCAGCGATCACAATGAAATATGAAGGGTGCAATTTCTTCAGGCAGAGACTTGTCCTAGCAACATTAAGTGGGAAACCAGTTAAAATAGTTAAAATAAGACACAAAGACGATGATCCTGGACTTCGAGGTGTGACTTTTGCTTTCCAAATGTCATGGGAATTCCAATTTTTGTGTTGTAAAACTTACGTACGCGAATGTCGCATGCCAGTAGCATGGCCACGCTGATCACAGCACAGTGAACACGTGTGCGAATACTTACCCCCAGAACTGTGTTGGATGGAGCATGGAGCTATGGTGTGAGCGCGCGGCGGACGACGAGCCACACGGTTCTGGGGGCATGTGTGAAGTTTGTCCTATCTTGATTGTGCATGTACACTTTGCATTATCATGATTATGTTAGTATTCATGTTATGTTTGTCTTGTGCAAATTAATTGTACTCCCTCCTGACTTGATCATCCCATGGAGCTATCCTTTTTTATAGCTCCATGATCATCCTATCAAAGGATTCATTCAAAGGCAAATCAACTCAGGATGGCATACAATGAATTTGTGCAAGTTTCAAGATTACGCTGAAATGTTCATTACGGATGGCATTAGACCTACACTCTTAAAGCCTCTTACTTAGTGAGACTTCCAAGTGGAGTATTCAAGAGGACAACTCCCAAGTACATTATGGGGCAGCGCAGACAGACATTTGGGAGTTTCACAAAATACGGGTAGCAACCACACCGCATCGATGAAAACAACTGCAATGAGTGCACGTGTACGTACAGATCAAAGAAAGATTGTATAACCCGATCCTCGGACTGGCTGGTGCGTGCGTACCTCGCCAAGGTCGCTGTTTTCACTGGCGCAGTACCTGTCATTTTGCAAGAATCCCGGATGTCCGAGCTGCCCCATACTTCCACTGGAAGGAAAGACTTTAGGCCTAGACTACTTTGCAACATTTCAACTCAAGTGAATTACACTGCAAATGTTTTGTAATGTCCAATTTGCCTCTTTTGTATAATTTGTAAGTATAAATGGCCTTATCACTTACAAAGCCCCCCTCTGTGAAATCACATTCCTTCCTAGTACGGGTGACTGCATTTCATCCCCATATTTTATTGTTTGTGAAAGAAAAGCAAATGGACATAGTGTGGGTTAATAACCTGCTACACAGACATGTATTAAATCTCTTCACTGACCAGTCACCATCACCACCCTCTGTGATTTTTCTCTTTCAGATTTTGAAGCAAGTTTAATCCGACTACTAGATAAAGTTACAAATGGATCAAGAATTGAGGTCAATGAAACAGGTATGTACGTACAAAGAGGTAATTGAGCAAAAGCCAAGACCAAACTCCCTTTTACATCCCTTGTAAATACCATTAGCATGCCAAGGAGGTGAGTCAAAGTACTCTGTGCAAGGGAAAAGTCGAAAGAACACTCTAAGGCTATGTACTTCAGTACGATATTGATATTTCTAAATTTGTACATGCTGTACACTCTTTGCCACATGGAAATATTTCGTTAAATTGAAGCCATTTTTATGTGAAAAAAGAAGCCTCCACCGTGTATAATTGTTTCATGTCATTATTTCTAATCTCTCAGTGTTGACTTTCACTTGCCGTCTGGACTATTGAAGACTAAACTGCTGTACCTTTGTGTACTTACCGAGAAACTATCACAAGATTCAACTACATAGCAAAACAAATTCTGTTAAACTGTGTGTTGAAATCCAGCAGTCCTTAAAGCTGATGGTAAACTAATGAAGTTTTTGTAGACAGTCAATTGTAATGCCGCTTCGAAGTGAAATAGGAGGAATATTGTACAGCGGTTGTGTTGAGGGCTTGTAAATCCACATTGCAAGATCTGGGTTCAAATCCTGCAAGAGGCAAATACTGGTAACTAGGGCAAGGCCCTCTCCTCACTTGCTCCTCTCCAGCCAGGAGTATAAATGAATATGGATACCTGTGAGGGCAGAGAGGGTTGGCTGTGGTTGGTGAACATTGGTAGCACCTAAAATGGTTGCATTGATCGCAGTATCCTTCCCAGAGAGTTGAGAGGGTTTATAGGAATACTTTCTGACCCAATGAGTAGGGATAGTAAGATGGATGGGAAGTACATTGAGAGTCTGCCAGCTACTGGTATGCACTGTGTCCATTGTAAACCTAAGCTGGTAGGTAACCAACAATCCATCATCTCCCTCAAAAATCTTAGTTATCTACAAATTTCTTTAGAAATCAAGTACTGTTCTATTCTGACTATTAATGTATTACAAATCATGATTCATTGTAAAAGGCTCATGATTAGGGTAAACTTACTCATTAAATTGAATAATTCTCATTCCCCCCCAAAAAAATCCCGGATATACATACAACAATACACGTGTACATCTATGTACACTGTACCGGGAATGTACTCTTTAACAGTAAGTTCATAATATCAATAGGAACCAGTGTATTATACCAGCCTGGCTTGCTGAGTGGAGGAACTATTGAACATGACTGCAGTACACAACGGGCTATTGGCTACTATCTAGAAGCACTGGTTTGCCTGGCTCCCTTCATGAAGAAGCCAATCAAAGCTGTGCTTCGTGGGGTTACCAATGATCAGGTTGACCCTTCGGTAAGTTGTCATTATGGTAGGACTTAGAAGAATACACATTAGACTAAATACTGATTCCTGTGTGGAACAGGTTTAAATGTAATGCAGTCACTTGTTTTGTGTTATTGTTCATCATACGGCAGACATCGTATGTATTTTGTCATAAACACATATTACCATTTGCAATTTGTTCACTTGATAATTTCTTTTAATTTTGATTTCTGATTTCAGGTGGATATCATCAGAACAGTCACGTTTCCCATCCTAAGAAAGTTTTACATTGATGAAGGTCTTGAGCTAAAGGTACGTCTTGTTTATATAGCACTTTTACTGCACACCTTTAGATAGATTAATCCCAACTGTATTTCTGAAATACTGAAGGACAAAATTTCCTCGAATCATCACAATATACAGGGGTGTGAGAATTCAGCTGTTTAGCTTATTTCAGTTTTTTTGTGTAGATGTTGATCCTGAATTTCAGCTTTTTCGTAAACCTGGTCTGTACAAAAGTATAGGAACTTTTTACATTTCAGCTTTTTGCAAGCTGTTTTCGGCTTTAATATTAAGTGGCTACTCAAACCCCTGAATATGTCTTCACGATTCGTTAGGTTTCATTCTGTATACAGTTACATGTATTTCTTTATTATGTAATAGGAAGATTTTTGAAAAAAAACATTTGCAGACTCTAGTCGGATATATGTTATCAGTGACAAATTCCAGACTGAGGTGATTTTTCCTTCATTTTTGTCCTCTCAGATCACACGTAGAGGAGCACCCCCGGGAGGAGGTGGGGAGGTCATCTTCAAATGTCCCATCAAGAAAACACTAAGACCCCTGCAGTTTACTAAACCTGGAAAGATCAAGCGGGTCCGAGGAGTAGCGTATCCTTCATCCGGAGTTTTTCTTTTCCTTTTCATTCTCGGAAAAGTTTATTGAATGACCCATGCAGTCAATGGTTTGTTTATGGCATCTATGAAACCAGAAGTTTACCACTTGTTTTCTGATTGCCCTTTGCAAAGTCTTTTATCCTTCACTGACCCTAACAGATATGCTATGCGTGTATCTCCTTCCGTCGCTAATCGAATTGTTGACGCAGCCCGTAGTATTCTGAACCAATTTCTGCCCGATATCTACATCTACACTGATCATATGAAGGGTCCACAGTCGGGAAAGTAAGTCCCTCCAAATAATTTTTCCTTCAATTTCTGTATGCTGTATATCCCCTGCTGAGCGTAATCAAATTACAGTACTACTTGGAATCCTGCTTCATTGTTGTCACGTAATACAAGGCTCATGTTGCATGAGGCAGTGTACTAAAATTAGCCCTAAATAGTTTCCAAACTGGACATCAATGGAAACTGTATAGATGGAGTACAGTGTTCGCATAGCACATGCTCAAAATGCAGCATGCTGTGTGTCATGGGAGAACCTTGGTACGTGCATGTAAGGTTGGCCCTAGCAATGTGGCTATGCACTGACTCACTAGCAGTAAACAAGTTCAAACTGGTGAGTGAGGGGCTTTATTTGCGAGTGACCTTGCTTTTGTGAAGCACCCAACTGGTTCTTTTCAAATGTTGTAAGGTCTTTTCATAAGCTTTGAAACCAAAGTAGTTTTTCTCTCAGAAGATTTCTGAAGCTGCATGCCTTGGATTTCCTTAAAGTTGCATTTGCAGTTTTTCTTTTGTTACTTGGCCTATTGAACAGTGTACAAATATAACATGATTTGAGGGTGGATCGATGGTTGCTCCCTAAGGTATTGGAAATTGATAAACTAGCTGATGGACTGTCTACCTTCCAACCACATTTTGTATTCCTATACCTCACACATACATGTATTCAGGTGGCATTGACATTTTAGGCTTTGTGTGAAAATGCTGTACAACATGCATATGTGCTTCCATCTTTTTGCGTGTAGGAAGGGCAATTCTTATGCATGCGGAATTCACCAAAGGCAAAAGTTCCATGACCGCTTCATAAAGCGCACGCGTAGTGAAAACTCAGTAGGGAAAAGTTTACTAGACTAAATTGTGTATTTGATTTGTGCTTGGATCCTTGTGTGCCCAGTTGGCTAAGAGTAAAAATCGTAACTCACATGTAATGGTTAATGGACCGGTGAGAATTCGGCTCTCAGTCATGAATATGTATGAGGTGCAGTAAAAGGTCATACTCTGTGCTTCAATCAAGAGTACTGGAACTTGTTTGATGTACTCCAACGGAAGTTCAATATTTGTAAGGAATCTTGGTTTGAACCACAGATCTCCAGGGTTTGGCTTGTCATTAGTTGCTGAAACCACAGAAGGTGCATTCCTGAGTGCTGAACTCTCGTCCAATCAGCAGGGCCAGACTCCCACAATTCCAGAGGACCTGGGCAAGCAGACGGCAATGTTATTGATGGAAGAAATCTACAGGGTAAGAAAGCAGTTATTCTAAAGCCTTTGTCAGTTTGGGGGGGGAGTTTACAATTGGTTGTCTAATGTTGAAATAATCACACAATTAAAACTGTTATCTATTTCTTCTGTGTTTACCATTTGTTTCTGATCAGCTTGAATTGTTAATGTCATTTAACTTGTCTGTTCAACTCTGTTGTAATCTTTGTGGAAGAAAACATTTAGTATGTGCAAAATACATATAACCACCGGGGAAAAATAAAGTTTTTGGCTTAAATCTTTTGTGATGAGCAATGTTTATTGTCATGGTTTACCTGATGATAATTTTCTAAGCAGTTTTATCCATACCCATTAAGGATAAAAAATAGGTTAGTAATAGGTTAGTAGGTTAATAGTAGGAACAGACAACCAAATCCACATATATGGCCCATTAGAAATGACAACAGGGTTTTATACATTGCAGCGATGGAGATCAAAGAACACTCCACAACAAACCACAGACTCTGATTGTTCCAGTTGTTACCACTGCTTTCCAGTTAGGACACATTGAATGAAAATATCAGTTTGGATGGCTTTGACAGTTCAATCCTAGCGAGCTCACTATGTGATTGTACTAATAGGTTTGATAATCACAGTACACAATGAAAGTCCCCAGCCAAAGCAATTGTCTGTCTGGCATGTTAATAGATGTTGCCCTGCCTGTTGGTTTCTAGGGAGGCTGTGTGGATTCCAGACATCAGAGCTTGACACTTCTTCTGATGGCTCTTGGCCAGTCAGACGTCTCCAAACTACTCACCGGTCCACTCTCACCGTACACGTGAGTGACATTGCTTGTTACCTTCCTGGTGAACAGTATTCCTTTCACAGCAGGACAAGCTGTGTATGTTTCACTGTAGCAATGGAGAATGGATGATAGATGAGTGAAAGATCTCAACCTTACAGTTGTAAAGTGATGTCTTTGAGATAAATGCTTGTTGGTGCATAGTTTTATGAATTGCTCCTGTTGGTAACGGATATTCAAGTTGTAGTGAGTGTTACAATTGGTTTTAACTGTTTGTTTTAACCTTTTTATGCGCAAGTGAGGTTAAATAGAATCCAGTAAATGCATTATTTATGTACATTTGATATTCTGTTTTGATAGGATCCAGTTTATGCGCCACATGCGAGATTTCTTCCAACTCATGTTCAAGATGGAGGTGCAGCAAGGCAGTCAAGGGGAGGAGCAAGTAACTGAGGAGGAGGAAGGGCAAAGGAGGGGCGGAGACAAGGTCATTCTTACATGTGTAGGGGTTGGCTTCACAAACCTCAGCAAGACAACGTTATGACCATTCCTGAGCCTATTTCTAGAAATGTTGAGGCGAGTTCCCTAGTTGAATTTGATGTTGTAACTTGAACTCGACATCATCAATTTGAATTTGTGGCCCACTCAACAGGCTTTCTGTGACTACAGCTTTACTCTTTAACTGTAAAACATGACAAGCCATATAGATCCAAGCTCTTCCTGGTTAACAAGTATAAAGGCTTTACTTCTAATAGTCTTAAAGAACAGTTATTTGAATCAGGAATCATGTAAAATGGTCAAAGAAGCAACACCTGGCAACATTTTGACAATGCGAAATGTGACCAACTTCTTGCCATTTATTGCATTGGTTAAATACCACTTTTACTGTTTGAGGAACAGTTTGGTTATGGAACAGAAGCATATATTACATATGCAAGTCATTAAACATGAAATATTGTTGAGCAGATGCCTTCTTCAGTTACACTGAGCATTTTCTGAGCCCTGCTCTGAGTCTACTGTATAGACCACATCACCTGTGATATCATGCAGACCACATCACCTGTGATATCATGCAGACCACATCACCTGTGATATCATGCAGACCACATCACCTGTGATATCATGCAGACCACATCACCTGTGATATCATGCAGACCACATCACCTGTGATATCATGCAGACCACATCACCTGTGATATCATGCAGACCACATCACCTGTGATATCATGCTTGTTGGTTGGGCTCTTGCTGTTAAGCATCAACAAGCAATCAAATCAACAAATAATACAAGCTCTGTCTTAAAAAAAAATTAGACTTCTAAATACATTCAATATTAATACGTTTATTTGAAATGATGTTTGAATGTGATATTTTGAGGGACACAGTACAAAAGCCACAGTGCTGTTCATGCAGCCGTACTGGCTGCTATCTCGGTGTGCGATTGATCTAGGAAAACACAGAAGATGGCAAGTTCCACTCTGTGAGATTTGTTTGTTTTCATGTGAGACAATGAATATGAATTTGTCCACTTTTTTTATTACAGGGATGTGAGAGTCTTTTAAGAGTGCACTTCCAGGTTGTTGATACCCTGTTGACACTGAATTTGTTTGCTGACACTTGTTGATGCTAAATTGCATGACTATATGGTTGCCAACAAGCAACACCACCAAATCGTGCATCTCTTTTTAGCTGCTGTCATAGAAATCCACTGCAGTATTAAGAGGAGAAGGTTGCCTTTATCAGTGAAACTAGGCTTTGTAAAGCCACAACATGCTGTAGTTTTGTAAACAAATGTCCTAAAACCATGAGTTCGTGTTTCCTACACCTTGAAATGGCAACAATATTCAAATTTCTCTTGCAAACTAGTCTTATTTGGGAATTCTTTTTTATCAAGAACAGTTAACAAGAATTAAATATTATCTTATGTTGCTGCTGTCATTACACTTTTAGGTAGCACTGTGCTATTAAGTTTATTCAAGAAGCAAGAAATCTCCATGAGATGATTCACAATTTTCAAGGAAATGCAACAGATGATAGTGACCAGAGCCTTTTTCAAGTTGTTTAGAAAGGGGAGGGGGTGTTTTGCAGCTCCCAAGATTCTGGCCAACTAAAAATAATACAGGCCCCCGACTTACTCCGTACCATCTTGACACACAGCCATAGTTCTTCATAAGCATACTTAATAAAAATCAAATTTCAAAAATCTACAACACCTGTACACATGCGTTTCTTTGTGTTTAGCTGCATGCTTTAACAAATGATGTCCTTGATGGAAGTGGTGTTCCAACTGAACAAGGCTCTCTCTTTTTAAAAGATGGTGGTTTTATTCCTGCCAGAATATTGACATGTTCTTACCCTCTGCAGTTAAACTTAATAATTTTAATGGCATGCTGAATTGAATGATGTGAAGTGTGGCATAATGAAATTACAACTGTCGAGGCAATTAGTCTGCTTTCATGTGAAGTGCTAACTATGTTGGTGAAATTCTGGACACACAGCAACACGCACAGAATGCTGTTTCACCAACAAATCAGTGGCCTTGTGGACGTGGGGGAAGCATTTTGGAACACAACCTTTAAAACTCTAGGATCACCAATGGATGGATTATTCACCCTTCATTGCCTCTAAAATCCATATGAAGTCATACACGTATGCAAGTTAAAGCTACGGAAATCAGCTAGACTGTGTAAACTAATTATTTCTTGCAATGGATGTGATTCTAATGTTGAAGCTTGATTGGATTATTTTATTGGCCACTCAAATAAAGCTCCCTGATCTTGATACTCGTTACGTGGATATATACATCGACATGCTCAATAAGATATAGAATTATTTCGTTTGGAAAATGGTAACATTGGATTTTCACATAAAAATTACTGAGCGGTAAGCATCTTGGCTTCAGTTTGATTATTTCGATTATTTATCAATTTCTTAGGGATCGCCCATGCGAGGGTATTAACAGTCTCCATTCTCCTGAGCAGTGGTGGTGCCAGACCTCGGTACAGGGTGGCTGCAGGTGCAGTTGTGGGGTCCACACTTGCACCCGCAGCAACCGCGTGCAGAGGTCATGGAGCAAAGCAGAATCGCTTGGGTGCAAATGATCCGTCATTTTTTTCTGGGTTATGATGCGAGTCGCAAAACGAAAAAGTTGATCGCCCTGTTGTAGTATGTGACAAAATTTTTGTGGGTTCAAACGGCTTTTCAGTGGGTGCATTTGCACCCACTGAACACCACTTAGTTCATGGTATAAACATTTTTAAAAAGAGTCACAAAATGAAAAATAAATTGCTCAGAGAACAGTTTATATTTAAAAATAGGAATTTATTAAAATGCTGAGGGACAAGGGTAAAACGAACACCATAAAAATCCTTCATTTAACGGGAGAATTTAACAGATTTAGTCCTGAAAAGTAGGTTTTAAAAAGAGATATTGTTTAAGCGTTATTGTCATAATTGTTATAATTTTCCCCTAAATAAAACAAAAATACAATTTTACTTATTAAATCGTGTTGAAGTAAAAAAAACCACCCTGAACGTGAACATAATTGTTCACACAAAAGACTGGACTTCAAATTTTCAACTTTTTACTTGTTTGCAGGTACTGTTCACAATACCTGTAGATTCTCCAAAATAATCTTCAGTTCACTGTAGATTCTTTACGAAGTTGTAGATTCAGAGAAAATAATCTACACTTCACTGAACAAAATGACTTCACAAAAGTAGTTTAAATATGGTTAATCTACTTTAGTTTTTTGTTTGCGGAGAGAAATGATAAAAACACGTCCAAATTTATCATTAAGTTCTAGAAAAAAAGTTGCTACAAAAAATAATTGTGTTCAGTTTACGCATATGTCAACCTCCACTATGAAGATCTCTATGAAGGTATGATTTGAACCCTGGGTAAAGGTACACGAATCAATTCCAAAAGTTGAATTCAAAGTAATTAAATGTGCACGTATTATCACGAAGTATGATATTTTACTGGAGCCTCGTGGGCCCACGAATCAGGTATGGGGGATGTGGGAGCCGCAGACGGAAAACATCTTCAGTCGTTCTGGGCCCAGGTTAAAGGAGTTCATAATAGAGTTATACACTTAATAACGAGAGGAAATCAAGCTGTGGCATATCAGAGTAACAGAGGTATACAACCAGTGACGTACCCCGGCGGGGAGAGGGCCATAGAGAGCAACTAGCCACAGTCTACCGTAACTGGATTTTTTTCAAGAGCTAAAGTCTTAAATTATGCACACGCTCTGGATTTCCTGGTGACTAATTTTCAACTCATTGGAATGGAGGGGAACGGTTAACCCTGGGAATTTGTTAAGAGTTCTTGACGACAATATTATAGAGCATGCCGTGTTCCATGTTACCTCATGCTGTATTTAAGCACTGTTTATGGTATTTACATTTCTTACAGTTTCTCATTTACTGGCTATGAATGCCCTCTTAATTTAGTGGTTTACTGACTTTTTGGACTTTAAAGTCAAATCCTTCGCTTAACCCCCCCAAAAAAATAACCTACTGTCCCATCATTTGGTAGATTCACCGTGTTATGGTTTCATTTCTACCACATTGTTATGTATCTGCACTGTCTGGTATTACCAACCAGGTTTACCTTTAAAACATTTTCTTTAGTTCCAAAAAAAATGTTCTGGAATGCGTGCCCATTCATATAGTCAGGTTGTACAGTTCATTTGATTTCTTATTGAATTGCCTTAGACACTCTTTAACCGCTTTTCAAATTCCATGTGTTCTTTTGATTACTTGAATTAAAATGAGCGTATTTGATTTTTGTAATTTCAGTGTTTTTGGTGTAATTATTGTTTTCCTTTTGTCATATGCTTTAATTGGAATTAATTAAAATATATGCAGCATGTTCTGTTATGTGACATGTGGCCAATTAGGCACATGAATTAGTGATGTAATTAATAAACAAGGCAACGATCAGCTGTGGGCGCTAGAGATGCGTAGATTATTGGTGGGTGGGGTGTTACGCTGGTTGAAAGGGGTTCAAGGTCACAGAGTAAACTCAATGCAAATATCCTTGTACAAAGGTTTCGGGGCTGTTGCCTTCACTTTCAAGAACCTGAAGTGGATGACGTGCAGAAGTGATTCGTGGAACGATTAACTCCCCTTTTAGCTTTGAACTTCTGACAGGCAGTGTGCTTCGATGTGAAATTTTAAAAGGCCCCTGGTAATGACCATCTTTAAACTAATTCCGAAGTCCACTTCAGCTCCAATGAAATATTATTTTGTGACAACTCGCTAGTCTCTTTCAAGTATCAACGCTTGGAGTTACACCACTGAACATCATGTCATTTGTAGTAATCTCATTCGTTGAACACTTTGAACTTCGTGTTATCCAAGACTACCCGGCCGTGTGCTGAAGTTGTGTGGCTGCGGCTCGCAATAACGCCTATCCCTGCAGCGCGCAGAAGCGCTAAGCAAGCGGTTTGTCATTTTCGTGATTTCCCATACATGTACATGTACATTATCTGCAGTAGTAACTTGCAGCCCCAGCCATCGATTAGGACACCGACTCGGCCTACTCCCAGGTGGGTTTTCGGTCAGAGGTCATAATATTGGGTGACGTCACATGTTAAGCCGACATTTTGTGGAAGAGTGTGTACTTCACTCGGAAGTGTCACAATTCTCCTTGTTAAAAGCCACTAAAAATGCTTGAAGTGATACAAGGAAGAAAACCATTCTGTAGGTAATCATGTCTGAGTTATTCCGATCAGCACTTGGCCTTCTGGGAGGTGGTCAGAGCGACAGAGGAAGCGAATTTGTCGGATCACAGGTAGAACTGGGTGATACGAAATTACGCGTGAAAAGAGTTATAGCAGAAGGTGGGTATAGGCCCTAGGCCTATTTCGTGATGTCGATTGTAATGTAAGTAGGCCTCGGCCTACCTGTTTGTTAATTTAACAGGACACTCTTTTTAGACACTTTGTTAAAAGGATTTGTCATGTTTGCTGCTGCAAAATGGCCTCTGCCACCTCACTGAATGCACTGAGTCTTAACTATCACATCACACTGACCTTAGTACTAGTAGTAGGGGCCTAGGCTAGGCCTACTTCCAGCATGACTAGCCTATGGCATTATAAAATGGTTGAAGTGAAAGCCTACAAACTTAAACCTTATTGCTAAATACCACATAAGTGATTTTGCATGATGGTCATGATGGTAGAAAGGCATTGTGGGAAAGGAACAGGGGGCAGTGTTTGCTCCTTTTTCCTTCCCACAATCATGACAATGCCTTTCTCCCATGGTGCAAAAATCACTCATGCGGTATCAACAATAAGGCTTATGACAAAGGAAAGGATTTCAAGAGATAATGACAGTTTTGAGGAAATGCAAATAGCCAGTGGTAAGTCTTACTTCCAGCATATTGTGAGTTTGTAATGCTACTTGCTATGGGTTTTTTAATGCTGTCCGATTAGATCAGACAATGGTTGATCAGGGTACATTTACTGCAATAAGCCTTTCACATTTCATGTGCGCAAGCTCAGAAGACTTTACAGAGGGGAACGAATTCAAGACAACAACGTTGCATAACATTTTGCCGAATGGATGCTCGAAATTGTTATTGTTTCAGACAATTCGTTCCCCTCTAGCATTGTTCACAAACTTGCACAGGGGTGCTAAAATCAACATGGCAACGGAACAGGAATTGGCTTATTGAAAATTCTACTTTATCAATTTCAATCAACACTGTTCAAACCTTCCCTGAAGAAGTTAACCTAACTGATCTCTGTCTCTCTAAAACTTTTACCTAGGGTTGTAAGAACATGTGATGGACTACTTTTTGAAAAATTCAAAGCTTGTAACTCATCACCCTCTCATTTTCCATGTGACAACGATCCAAACACACCAGACACTTCATATGCATCACACTGCACAGGCGTCAGGTTGTCAGCCAACCTCTGACTGCCTTCATGCTCTAAATGTGTATTATTGGACATATTAAGTGTTTGAATGAACTTAAAGTTTGAGGTATCCCTTCTGTCCACAGCTTTCCAGCACAGTGCACAGCGCGTACCAACCATATCAGTCCAAAGAGAAACATACGTTGGACTGACTTTTGCTTAGTTTCTGCTCCACTTTGCTTAAATGTATTTAAGCCTTGTTTCCAAGACATTTAACACATGCATACATGTATGTACATGTATTTGGAAGCAAAAGCCCTTTTTCAAAAATGATTATAACATCCTACAATGATGAAGAAATTAACCCAGCGTGTAATTTTATAACCAATTTGTCAGGTTGTCTTCCCCGAAAAAGCTGCTGGGGCATTTTTGTTGTTTTTTGTGGGGCAGATTCTTCAACATTGCAATTTATTTTTGGCATCTGTATATAGAATCTTCTTCCACACTGTTAATATGTCAACTGCGAAAATGAAAGAAAGAACTCTTAAATGGGTGTGCATGTCCTCCTTTGGAACAAATACGGAATATTGCGGATGTTCACACGTCATCCGGCGCTAAGTGGTTAAGGAGATATTGCAAGTTTGTTTCATTTACTTTTTTGGTTAAATCATTGTAAGTAACTTCTAATGACTTGTTTTACCCCTTTGTCTCAGTTGTTGTTTTTCTTGTTTCCATGGCAACATACAATTCAAATCACAAACTAATCATGTCAAATTCCCATTTGACATGGCACTTTCCCAAGGAGTACATGTATGCATTTATGTTTCCAGACCATAGAATCAGAACAAAGTTATTCACACTTGAAATTGTGACAGACCTCATTTGTGGGTGTGAGTATTTTCATGAATTGTTTTCTGGAGGATACCTTCTTTCCTGGTGCCTTTCTTGGTCTCATCATCTCAACTGTCCAGTTTTGATTTGTTTCAGGTGGTTTTGCCTTTGTGTTCATTGCTGCTGATAGTTCAGGAAGGGAATATGCATTGAAGGTAACGTTACTGATTTTATCTTGATCTGAATAGTTAGCAAGAAAGTTCTGGTTCTATGCAGACTATCTGTTGCATTATTTTTGGGTCGGAACTCAGCAGGCCTTAACTGTCTTGCATCTCCATGCCATTGAATATTGTTTGAGTTAATTACATCAAGAAAATCTGTATTGTGAAGGCTGGTTGACACTTGGCAAGTTTTTTGTTACATGTGCAAATGCATGTACTTAATGTATTTCATGGCACAAAAGATTTGTTGCCTAATTTGCCAGAGTTGCATTGTGTTCCACCAGTTGGAATTACTTGTAGCAGGCCTCGAATTTCCTGACTTCCATGACGGCCATGGCCGTCAGTGTCCTCCCATTTGGTAGTGCTGGTTCCGAAAAGTTATCATGTTTCTCCAGAAAGATGGCAGTGCCCTTTTTTGTCATGGCCGTAGTGCCTTACACTTGCATATGGACTGTCCCTCTTCAGCAAGGTACACAGAAAGCGGCATGGAAAGCGACATACACATTGTTCCATGATCGCTCACATTCGACTGGAACACCGCGCCACGCCACCCAAATGTATGCCATGTATGCATATACAGGGGATGCATATACTGTGTGTATAGTGGGGATAGCGTATGCTCAGCCTGGCCTGCCGTGCACTGGCGGCTCGGCTGGCTCTATCCATGCACACTGCACGAATCGCAAGCGCGTCACAGGCGACACGCGCCGGCCTGTCCAACGACATAACATAACAGCACATGCCCAAGCCAAGTATTTTAATGTACCATGCAATAATGTTAATCTAGAACAAGTGCTCATCAACGTGTATGCGTTGTCGGTATATCGAGAGCTCCACATTTTTCATGCACACAGAACAATTGTATGGTCGTGGCAGTATTTTAACTAACACCGTAATGTAGTGTTTGCTGTTTAGTGCAACGTGCCGCGCGCGATCCGAACTGTACATTCATGACATTGGTCAATCGGACTACCCTGATTAATTCTCACGTACGTTGTTGTGTCCAAAATCACTGGTCTAGCCAGTTTTTGTGGTACGCAAAATGCCGAGGAAAGAATGGCTGCAGTCAAAACAGGTCGAAGCCTTTCAACACTCAGTTGCTGGTTCAGCACTTATCACGGACATGTTCAGGTATAATGTGTATCCTACTTTTCTTAGACCTGAATCATTTTCATGCGATATAAAAAAAAATTGGAATGGCATCATTGCCCATAACTTTGGTACGCTGATGGCGTTAATGCCCTTAACTTTGGTACGCCGATGGCGTTAATGCCCTTAACTTTGGTACACTGATGGCATTAATGCCCTCACGTTTGGCATTACTGCCCTTTTTTCAGCCAGTCCACCAATGCCAACTAGCAGTGCCCTAAAAAAAATGAAATTCGAGGCCCGTTGTAGCAGTGCACAGTGAGTGACTTCAGTGTCACACGTTGGCTGTGGCATTTCCGCTAAGCATGAACTGGTTTTCTCAGTCACATACCAGGCTATAAGAGCTTAGCCATTGTCAGTCTGCATGATGCTCAAAGTCCTAAAATGTGCCATTGTGGTGTTAAGAGAAGACAGTCATACTGCATGTTCTGACAATGATGGCCCACCAAATGAGAAAATGGACGTCAATGGCAAGAGCCAGAGTATCATTGTCAGATCATGCCTCAAAATCTGTAGACCATGACATGTATCTTGGTTCCTGCTGTGGTTTTCTACATGTACATGTAAGCTTCAATATGCATGCTAGTACAGGTACTGTACAAGGCATGTTTGTTGACAAATTCAGTTGTGCATGAAATATGGCATCTGCTAAGCTCACGGTTCTTGCATGATTATGACAGGATAACATTCAGGAGAACTTCAATACATGTACCTGTCTAATTCCTGGAGTGAGGGTGTATCACTTTACTCAAAGGATGATCCTTAATAAGTGCCAGGATAGGACCTGATCTCGTCAAATGAACTGATTGAGTCTGTTATAAATGCATGACATATAGCGTATCATAACGCTTGTAACGTCCAACTATGCTGCCTGTTGAGGAGGTACATGTACATGTGAGGTTATTTAAAATATACTGGTAACATTAAAGTTCACATTGGATATATTGAGGTTGTTTTTAATTTTCGCAGAGATTGTTAGCAAATGATGACGAAAAATCCAAAGCGATCCTGCAGGAGATATCTATTCTGGTATCCTTTGTAAATGCTAGTCTGTGTTAGTAAAGCTTAAGCCAAACGGAAAAGAAATGGTGTTTCCCATTTAATTGAAGAAAACAAATTAAAGTGAGTGACTTAAAGTTTTCCCTGTATCATCTACTGTTTTGACAAAAGAACCCTTTTATAATGCAAAAAAGGAATATTGTAAAGTCAATAGCCTAAAGTAAATATACACCCAAGTCAAAGCTTCAGTTCTTCACAGTTGTGTTGTACATTTGAAGAGGAGTAGAAAGTCATTTAGTACATGTAAGTGTACATCAAACTCTGTGGAATTTTTATTATTTTCAGATAAGAAAAATGCTTCTTGTACTGTTCATGTCATTCTAGATTTGTAATGTTTAGTTTTTTACTGGTGCTGTGGATGTGAACATGTAAATTGAATGCAGTCTTAGGAAATCGAAGATTTTGTGCATAATTTTGTACAAGTCTTTAAATTTACACTTTGAATTATACCATGTATATACAGTGTCTAGAAGCAAACATGTCCACACTAAGGACCTTCAATCCATACAATCAATACCTCAACCCTGTGTATCCACATACATTCCATAGTACATGCTACATGCACCCACATGTGCTGTGCATATGCATGAGTCTCTACCTATACCGTGCATGCATTGTACATGTAAGCTAGTACATGACAGTATGCATGTTTCTGTGCATGCAAATGCACGTCAAGTGTGTGAGTCTTGAGCAGAAAGTTCAATCCTGAGTGAGGAAATGGTAAGCACAAAATAAATTTACTTGACCACATGTACATGTATTTGTTGGAAAAAATCTGCTAAAAATCTTTTAAATCAAACATGACAAGTCACTGTATTGTGTCATTGCATTTAAGATGAGTGTGTATACTGTAAATATTATGTAGGGTTGTATTTAAATACGCAAATAGTTGTTCAATGTACATGTACATGCAAGCTTTTGCATGGACACGTAGGCTTTTATTATGTATTTCAGAAAATGTTAATGATTAAAAGTGTAAACCTTTATGTTATATCTTTTCTCTGTAGTAATAACACACGATTTTGTTTGTTGTGAGTTCATACATGTAAATTTGATGGATTTGGGTTATATGTAATTTATAGTGTCCATCATTCATTTTCCTTGAGGAAATGTCTGTTGTCATGAGTCTGAAGCACAGCTTGTTGGTTAAATGTGTCTTGTTACAGAGATAGTCTGTTAGACAAATTGTACTTTCAGTGAGCTGCAAAATATAAAGTATTCCTTAGCAGTGTCTTACAGAAAAAACTATCTGGTCATCCAAACATCGTTCAGTTCCTGTCTGCTGCCTCCAGCAGCAAAGATGAATCCAATAACGACCAATCAGAATTCTTGGTTCTGATGGAACTGTGCCAGGGGGGTGGTCTCGTGGAGGCCATACAGGCGAAGGGAGCGCCGCTGAGCTGTGACGAGGTTCTTCAGGTGTTTTTTCAGACATGCCGGGCTGTTGGTCACATGCACAAGCAAAAACCACCAATCACACACAGAGATCTCAAGGTCAGTTGCTGCTTGCTGTCATATTGTGATACTAAAGCCGGGCAAACCTTAACTGCCCAAAGCTCCTCAAACTCTAGCAGTACATGTAGGTTTGGTCAAATGTTGCCGCATGAAGTACCCGAACCATACATTATGAACTTGTGCAGCTTTGTTAGACTGAGGAACAAAGGCTGGTTACATACAATAGTCATTCTGTGGATTAGCTGGCTAGTGGTACCATGTGTTAGACTGTGCTTGATTTTGCCAGGTTTAGTACTGTTACTGTAAATGTCATCTTTATGCTGCATTTATCCATCCATCCATACATGTACCAAGTGACTCAACACTTTAACACTGTTGTCCTGGTTCTGTCCAGTGAGGTGCCAGGAATTACATGTACAGTGACCCCCTTTGTGTCAGTCACAATTTGTTAGATTCAGTACTACTGCTTCTTCAACAATCTAGAGGATTAGGGCTAATGCATGAGTAGCTAATTCATGAGTGCATAGATAGGGTACGCAGTAATGCATGAAATGTCTGTTTAATTACATGTGAATTTGTTATATGATATTATTTCATAATTCATTATTTAAGTCCAAAATGGATGTGGTACATGTAGGCAAAAGACATGAATATTCTAAATTGTACTTGGGTGTGTTTATTGATATTATGGGCCAAATTACATTTACATGTAGCTCCCCAAGTCTGCTTACCAAGACTTTTCAGAAGTAAAACATTTGTAACCTAATCGGCCTAATTGCCAATTTTATTCTGAAGTTATTGAGACACTTGTTCTGTTAATCCCCATAAATATACATGTGATGTAACACCAGAAAATGGCTTGCTTACTCATTTTGTTCCAGTTGGAGAATCTTCTGATTGGTTCAAAGGGAACAATTAAACTGTGCGACTTCGGAAGTGCAACTTCCAAGTCTTACCACCCTGATGAAACGTGGACATCGCTAAAGAGAAGTTTGTTGGAAGATGAGGTGAAGATCAGATACTGTAGGGTACTTTTCATTGTGCATTATTTAATCAGTTAGGTATTGACTCGTAATTAGTTGCTTTCAAAACTGAAAGGCCGTGGAGCTTGGGCGTGTTCCCTTGTGCTGCTTTTTGTGTAAAGAATAATACTTTGATAGACATAGATCCAGGTACAATTTTGAAACGTAAAGGTGGTTCTAAAAAAGCAAGGAATAGGTGCGAAGTTTTGTTCAGTACACCCTGGCCTTCATCTTTAGAAAAATACTATAATTCTTAAGACAAAGCGTAAGATAATAGTTGAGAGAAGGATTCATTGCCAAGCTTGAAAGCGTGAAAGTTTTCAACCAGCTCATGGAGATGCATCTTAAAACATCCAAATGCTGGAAGGAAGGGCGATGCTTTGTCCAATTGGAGTTAGGCACACTATGTATCTGTTAAATTGGCCCAGTTTTGTACTCTGCACCATGTACATATTCCATCATGTTGCACTGATGATACTTTGTCCTCCAAACGTCGTTGGCTCTTCAGTTGGGGATTATTTGGGACTTGAAATACTGTCACAAATTTAGTTTGAGAGGAAGTTCTCTTGATCTGAGTATGCTTCAGAAAGATTGCAAGTGATAATTGTAATCTTCCCAGGGAATTACACTGCTTGATTTAAGATATTGGCCATATTCATATTTGTACTTTAGATGATTTATCTGTATTCATGTTTGTCACAAATTGGGTCATTTTTTTTCCTGACCCAGCGTACAAGTACATTAATGTTTATTATTTCTGCCACAGTTGGCCCGTCACACCACTCCGATGTATCGCACTCCAGAGATGCTGGATCTCTACAGCAACTACCCAATTGATGAAAACATGGACATATGGGTAAGAAGCCGTCTGCATCACACATTGTAGACAGAAGCAAAATAAACACTGACCTGTGCAGAAAGATGGTGTTTTGAACAAGTGTAATATGAGAAGGCCTGGTTAATTGGTTGAAGTTTTGAGAGAGTATCTTTGTCCACAACTGTGCATGATGGTTCAGATACCAGCTGTGTTAGTCTCCAGCAGTGCACCATGAGTGGCATGGGGCCTAGAGCAAGCCAGGTTGTAGGGCTGGTGATAGGTAAATCTTTGTGGTTTTATTGCCTCCATTCTCTCTCTTATCCACCCCCACCCCCCCAAGAAAAAGGAAAAGAAACTCTCAAATTCTCCCTTCCCCAAAATGAGCCTTGAGCTGGACCAAGAGAGGGAACAATTTTCTTAGCAACCAAGGCTCCATTGGTCGGACCTGCATTTCACATGCGTTACCATCACATAACTAATAACAACATGAACACTGTTGACCAACTGGTGAGCAGGTGCCTCTGCTCGAGTTGGATACACCTAGTTTAAGTGTAATGCACATGGCTATTAACTATTAAATGTTGAAGATCAAGTAGTGTGTAGCCCATTGTCGGGCTACCAGACTTGAACATTATCGCTTTCCTGTGATTTTTGAAAGATTAAATTGTATCTAATGTACAGGCCCTGGGCTGCATCTTATACATGCTCTGTTATGGCCAACACCCATTTGAGGATTCTGCCAAACTAAGAATCATCAATGCCAACTACACAATACCAGAATCAGACAAGGAGCATGTGGTGCTGCATGAATTGATACGTGAGTCTTACTTTTGGACAAGATATTTTATTCATATTTCTGAAGGTAGAAGACCTTGCTTTGTGGGACATGTCACATTTGAAAAAGTTTTGTAAAATTTATTAAAATCTGAAATGGACAAATATATATACAGAGAGAATATGTGATCGCCATTAACCCGTGCATCCCAGAGGATGTATAAACATAATCTGATTGTGTACAAATTGCAGGGCAGCTGATGGATGAAACTGTCAAGCTTTTTACACAGGAGTCTCTTTAGGTGGACTTGAATATACACCTCACACTTCACTGATTACTTTTCTTTTTGTGCATGTGTACACGAGAGTCCATGGGGTTCATAGTTCAGGCAGCTGGTGTAGCAAATGTCATTCTGGAATAGTACTTCAGAGTATTGGATAGGACAAGTTGCAGTCAGAAGTATCTATAAAGATTGTACAAATGACTCTCAAAAGCTATTGGTTTGGTGGGATGTTTAAAAGTTGGCTGATACATCTGTTTCCAAACCATATATCAAAAATAAGACCATCCACAAGTGGTTGAATTGTTTGTGAAGAAGGTTTTATTAACCGAACTCTCTTGGCCCCTGTGGCTAGGATGCACCCTCAGTCCTCCAAAATGTGTTTTTATTTCTTGCATGTGTTCTTTGGAGGGGTGACCACTATCTCAAATCTTCAGAATCATCCAGCAATTTTTGTCATCTAATGAGGCAGTGCAAGTGGTATCCTTGGAGCGGTGTGGATGATATGTATAGTCTTTGCTTGAATTTATTCACGGTGAAACATAAACAGTACAAGGTCTAAGTCAAGATCTTGACACAATGCATCCTTCACAATCAGCCACACTTTTTTGCCATTCAAATCCTTGAAAACCACCCTGAAGATTTTAGAGGAGTGAAGAAGGTTTAGGGTTATTAACAGATATGGACTCCTACATGTACCTGAAAATGATTGTGAGTTTTAACAGCCCATTCATTATGTTTGGCCCATTAGGTGCAATGCTGCAGGTGGATCCAAGGAACAGACCACCTGTCTCTGTCATCCTGGCGCAGATTCATGAGATAGCTGCAGCTAGAGGGACTGTCCTGAAGGGACCCCTGACTCTACTGACAAGCAAGAATACCAACACTGCAGCATCGCCAGCCAGCCCTGCCCGAAGACCTGCAGAAAACTCAAGTTAGTTCAAGATGTGCAGAAATATAAATCACTTTAGTCTTAGAAACAAACTGAATCCAATTTAAAACATGCAAGCACTGTTGACTCTGAACTTTGCCAGTTTTCTTCCAACTTGACATTCCAGTGTTACATGAGCGCGCTTTCCAAATTTGTCAGTATCTTTATTCGAGGAGAGTTGAAAAAGGAAATTTGGTAGCAGTCGGTCATGAGACATTTTTGTATCATTTATTTTTTTCTGGTTCATGACTGCCAAATCATTTGGCAAGTAGTACCTGATTTTGCTTGGCTGGTTTTGTTTTATAACCGTTCTGTCATTGGTTGGATCAACTAATCTTAATCCCCCTTTTATATGTATTAGTTTTTCTTCTGTGTTGAATAAGGGCACACTCAGCTATTCATTTTGTTGCACATGTACATGTATGTTGCCTAGGTTGACAGCCGGATGAATTCCTGTCAAATTCCATTCTGCATTGGTCAAAGGGTCTGCAACTTACATTGTTACATTGGTTCAGTGCATTACCTGTTGCTCATTGACTTGAACCAGCCTGCTAACCACCCCAAGCTTAGTGGTCAAATAGTAAGACATTAATTTTGCACTTGTAAATTAGAGGTCATCATGGGTTCGAGTCCCACCCAAATAAATTTGTCAATTTTTTCTCAAGCCCTTGGACAGAACTGGCTATACAGTGTTGTTGAAGGTCAAAACTCCCAATATGAAAACTATGGAAACTAATCGTGCCAATCGCTTTCCTCCCCAAGGCAACTCTGCAGATTCCTCAGACGCTGCCAATGGGACTAGCTTCTTAGGAATGATGAAAGGTGGAGCAGGTAGCTTGCTCAAGAACATCAAAGACACATCTAGTAAAATGGCCCACACTGTAGCAAGGTAAACGATGTGGCATTAATTCTAACCTTCTGACACGAGCCCCACCCCCAGAATTTTGGCTCTCTGGAGACCAGTTTGTTTGGAAGTTGACATGCATGTAAAGACATGTATTTTTAGTACATCTATGTGATTTCCATTCCATCCAACAGAGGGTGTTAATGTTGTTGTCGTTTATATTTTGCACGTCCATACATGTCAGCCTATGCGTTTACAGCAGTTGTTGGGAAAAATTCACATTGTGTGCCAACCTGTCTTTAGAAATGGACATATTGCTTGAATAGTATTATCGCTTTTCATAAAATTGGTGTCAAAAAGACCTCAAGACATCAGTGGGAAAACTGTAAATGCTAAGCACGGTAAACTGATGTTGTGACTTGCAATGACATCTGAGGAAATGCACAGCCGTCTTCCCCCCCAGCTCATTCACAGTGGAAAACCCAACCATGTAAAGTAAATCAGTGCTGTAGTATTTGTTCAACAAAAGTGAGATGTCGAGTCCAATCATTGGTAATGGTGTCTTAGCCCTGTAGTTCTGAATCATTCAAAATCATGCAACTCTCACTGCTTGACATTGGAGGATTTGGAAGATCAAAGTTAATAATGTCCTTTCATTTCCAATATGAATCAGTTGATTTCATTGTTAATAGTAGCTCTCTAAGACAGCTAACTATAAACAATAGATACCTTTTCATTTCTCAGCTATGCAAAAGCCGAGTTGGATCTGAACTACATCACATCACGCATCATTGTAATGTCATTCCCTGCTGAGGGTCTGGAGTCGGCCTACAAAAATCACATTGATGATGTCAAGAACTTTCTGGACTCCAGACACAGCAATCACTACTATGTCTTCAATCTTACGTCAAGATTTTATAGGAAGGAGAAATTCAACAACAGAGTGAGTAGAAGAACTTATTTTTGCCTCACAATCCAAAGGACATTATATATATCATAGTTTGAGATTCTTTGTTGTATGTTAAATGCTTACAGCTTCTTGCAAATCCTGTGCGACAGAAAGCTTCTCAATATAAAATGGACTTAAGCGAATATTTTTTGTTGAAGAAAGTGTTACTAACATTCAGTCAAAACTGTAAAAGTGACAAAATGTCTGCCTTTGTTTTGAAAATTTGGTGTAGCAGTGTAGGCTTTAGAAAGCTGATTCACAAAGAAAAATATACAAATAGTGAAAAAGAAACTTCATATTTACTTAACGTACAACACAAACCACTTGTAGTTGTAGAAAACACAGTTGATTTATTTGGTGCTTAGTGTATTTTGAAGTTTTGTGGGTAGGTTTTTCTGTCATAAATGATTTCAATTTACAAGTCGTCAGATTAGTGCTAAATGGTCCTTACAGCAATCATGTTATGTTTGAAAAAAACTCTGAGGGCCTCATTTTGAGCAAGAAAAATCTTTTCAATGAAACTGACCATTTTCCTGACCATTTATCTATAAAACTAGTTTTTATGGCTGGTTTATTTAAATTTCGCCCAATATTTTTGCCAGATTTTATCTTTATAGCAACTTTTTCAATAAGGACCTTATAGTGCATTTTTAAAGTAAGGACGTTTAGCACTGACATGATTATACATAATTTGGACAAATATTAGAGTAATGAAAAGGCAGCTGTATACTGATGTAAGTCTTATTCCGCTTGTGCACAGGTGTTAGAGTGCGGCTGGTCAGCTAAGAGAGCCCCTAGTTTGATTCTACTCTACACTGTCTGTAGGAATATGTACCTCTGGCTTCAGAAAGATCCTAAGAATGTCTGTGCTGTCCACTGCCTTGTAAGTCCAGTTACTGTTGAATTGGAGAGTATAAGAACCAGTATGTTTGCTGCCACCAAGCGTCTCAAAGTCTCCCATTAAAACTATGCTATCTTATTGTAAGTACAGATCTCTCATACTGTAACAGAACTGACTTGATTTGTTTTCATGAACTATCTCCCTGTTTGTTTCAGGATGGTAAGGCATCATCTGCAACCATCATATCATCTTTCTTTGCCTTCTGCCGTTTCTTCACAACAACGGAAGCCAGTCTGTATATGTTCACCAGTAAACGGGGGCCACCGGGGGTCATCTCTTCACAAAAGAGGTATAAAGCCAACATTGCTGGACATCTTAATTCAGAGGACATTGTCAAACCTTGGATTCCCCCGTCTGTAGTATCACAAAGTCTCCAAGTTGTTCACATGCTGAGGAAAACTATGTCTTACGTGTTTTAATCACCTTGAGACTGTGTGTGCCTAAGGTGTCATGTTATTTTTGGCGCAAATCTTCTTGTAAAACAACAAATACACCACGCCTACTACTTACTGTTACGTCATATTTTCTACAGCAGGTATGACAGGTTGGGTGGCATGGCCAGCTAATATAACAGGTTGGGTGGCATGGCCAGCTAATATGACAGGTTGTGTGGCATGGCTAGCTAATATGACAGGTTGGGTGGCATAACCAGCTAATATGACAGGTTGGGTGGCATAACCAGCTAATATGACAGGTAGGGTGGCATGGCCAGCTCATGTGACAGATTGTGTGGCATGGCCAGCTAATATGGCAGGTTGGGTGGCATGGCCAGCTAATATGACAGGCTATGTGGCATGGCCAACTAATATGACAGGCTGTGTGGCATGGCCAGCTAATATGACATGCTATGTGGCATGGCCAACTAATATGACAGGCTGTGTAGCATGGCCAAATCTACATACCATACACAGTTGGTCTCGCTGGCAAGTGTAAATATTGCCCACTACTGTAGATAGATATTGCCAAAATGTATTTTCACACTCTCTGAAACTGTCGCAGAAATTGGTGCATGTTTACTAGGTCTCCAGCAAACAGGGCATCCAAGTTTTCTTAAGACAAATGAGATATTCTCAATGGTCGGCAGGACATCCATTCCGTATACAGACAGAAACCCCCTCTAGCTGCAGATTTTCAACCGGTGTTGGTTGATAAGTTTGATTTTCCTCTTTTGTTATATTGTAATTTTTTTCAGGTACATGGAGTACATCTGTGACATGATGGATCCTGAGCATCCCATCATGCCTCATGATAACCTGCTTAAGATCAAGACGTTGACATTGATGCCAGTTCCACTCTACAACAAACAGAGGTGAGCTTGGTTGACATTCAAACTAATTCAAAGGAAGGCCAGTCACAAAGTGCAGAGTTTGAACAGTGGTTTTTGTTTCAGAGATGTAAGCTCATCGGCAGTCCAAAATGTTAAGGATTGTTCGATTTGGCAAAATGGGCAAGACTTTGTCAGTCACATATCCTTAATATGGTAGATTTTAGTGGATTCTTATGCAGTTTTACAATCAGTTTAATGTTTCCTGGTGCATTGCTTCTTTCTGCTTGTAACCTGGTTTATGTTTGGTTTCCTGATAAGGAACGGATGTCGGCCATTTGTGGAGCTGTACTTAGGAGAAGAGAGGATTCTTAGTACATCACAGGAATATGAAAAGATGAAGTGAGTATGGGAGTCACATCTGTTCACAAAAGCTCTTGGTGACTGTTTGATCCTGACCCTCCTAGAACTATCAGAATCTACCAGGTTTAGGAGGATTTTGTAGGGTTGAGGCAGGTGGAGCGTGGCCACTGTTACTTTACATGGGGCTTTTGATGTCCCTTGAAAGCCGAAGTATAAAGAGAGTGCGTTTTTGTTATCCACACGGTGGATAGATAATTGTGGAGGATTTGGGAATGTGTCTGACAAAATATTCCAATGGAGTTAGTGTTAATGCCAAAGCTCATTGATTTACATGTACATGGCAAGGTATCAATTACACAAGGGTACTTCCTCACAAAGAAATGCTTTGGCAGCTTGAGAAAGGGCGTCACTAGGCTTTGTGTAGAGGGCTGCTGTTTGTTTTGTGTGGTTATTTGGTCCTTATATCCCGCACACTTGTTAATACACACACCTGCACTGCTGTATTGTTCTTTGATAACAGACCTTGATAAAGCATAAGTTAGGATTCACCTTGTTTGGGTTGAAACAGTGGGTGATAGTCTCAAACTTTGCTGTTGTCTGACACCATTTTTTCTGCAATGCTTGTAGGGGCTATTTCGTTGATGATGGCTGGGCAGAGATACCCATTGATAGAGTGGTCTATGGAGATGTCATGTGTATGGTGTATCATGCTAGGTCAACATTTGGTGGCAAAGTCCAGGGAAAGGTGAGAGATGAATTCAAATATTTGTCATTTACCTGAACTCTCTGGAGCCACCCAGAATCTATCATTTAGTTTGTTAGATTTTGATTGTTTCTGAACTGTAGAGCACTTACATCATTTCTTTGAAGCAGCTTTTCAACTAAATTTGATTTGAGTATCAGAGAATATGTCACGTGGTTAGTAAACCATTCAGACTTACGTAGTTCATTAGGGCTGTCAACAAAACAATCTGGGTAATTGGTGTTTACATAGACATATTGACTTCATTCATACAACTCCCCTAATCTCGTTCGTTACTGCCTGTATTCTCTGACCATGTGTCTCCCTTCTGCTTGGCTTTCTGTGTAGTGTTTGCAAGTATCTTTTAGCATAATGAAGGAAAGGTTAAAAAAAAGAAGAAAAACAGTTTGATTGCCAGTGTCATATAACTGTTGCTTCCACTTTAAGTTCCAATCGCAAAAAACACCATATGAAATAGTATTATATAAAAACGACTGTGTATGAAGTGGTAATGAGATGTTTCTTTTGATAACTTGCTTGAGTAGTACTTTGCTTACATATTTGCACCTGCTTACTCTGTGCTGCTGAAGAGCTTGTGAAAAACCATCCCAAGTCTGCACAGGTTGGACTCTACCCCAAGTGCAGTGTTCATACCCTTTGAATCGCTCAGCTTGCCAGAATTGGCTGGTTTAAATCTCAAACAGCAGTAAGGTGTCTAAATTAAACGATTCTAATTGTCTAATGTTTGTACATGGTTGATATAACTTCAATGTAACATGATATGTGTCACGATATATTCCCTCTTGCAGGTGACGGCCATGAAGATGTTTCAGTTACAGTTCCATGCTGGATTTGTGCCCCATGGGTCACAGACCGTTCAATTCTCTAAGTATGCCCGCTTGTTTTTTTCATGTCATGCTTGTTTTCGTGTCATGCTTTGTGCTCAGGATAATTTGGTGACTTTTATGACTTACAAAGCAAATCAAAGCACTTCAATCTTTTTATATTCTGGTTGTAATATCAACACTGTTTAGTTTGCAGAAAAGCAAGCTAAATGTCAGAAAGAAGTCAAATTTAGAGCTCAGTCCAAGGTCCCAAGTTACAGTGTGTTTTCTGAACACATGTAGGTATGATGTTGACCTGATGGAGCAACCGGACAAGTTCCCTGACCTCTTCAATGTGACCCTTAGGATAGAGTTCTTGGATCAGACAGCCAAGCCAGACAAGGAACCACCCTGGGCCACCTTTGAGACGCAACGGATCACGCCCAAGTACTGCTTCAGTAACAAGGAAGAACAGAACAGTGTGGTGGCACAGTTTGGTAAGTGGGCCTGGCTTAACGGAAGTTAAAACAGTGTTCTTTCATTACTGTGGTGACTTTAAACATGAGTCCTTGACTGCACGGCACCTATGTACTAATTCCTGAGCATGACCTATTGGTATAAGAAAATACAGAAGTCCATTAACAGGGCTCGATACCTTTGTAAGGTCTAGTGACATCTGATGATCAATAGATCATGCTTTTCCTGTTCCAATTTTCCTTGTTCGTTAACGAGACATTTTAAGTAAGGTTTGTCTAGTTTTCTTCCAGCAGGTCGTAACTGGGAGGATGTTGACATTGTTTTTGCTAAGCTTCAATGAGGGCTTTTGGCTCAGCCTAGCAGCCTACTACTGCTGTATGGTTACCAAATGATCCCAAGAGAAATATCTAGCCTTCTGAAGACTGTGTTGCGTGGAGGTAATACAACACAGACAGATACGAGGCTGACATGGATCTACAGAAAGAAATTCCTCCAAAACAACTTCTGAAAAGCAAGGGAAAAAAAACTACTCTTTCCAGTCAAACACACTCATCCTTTCAACCAATCTGGACAAATTTACAACATCTGATTAGTGTGTGTGTGTAATAATGGTTTTATAGCTGTCCACTTCTCAAGCCTCCATAAAATTCTGACCAGCATTTGCCTCTGAGCTTGAAACTATTCACATTCATATGCTTGTTAAATACTTTTTCAGGCCTGGCCCTGTAATTTCTTGTTTTGGGTTTCAGGACACATGGATGCTAATGCCAAGGAGAGAAAAACCAAGGAGAAAACAATGACAAAGTCATCTGATGAACAGCAGTGGCAGCAGCAGTCATCCAGGCAGCCTCAGCCTCATCCCGCCGCTGCCACCGACAAGAAGGCAGAATTTCTGTCAAGTGTGAACTGGCAGGAAGAAGAGGCCAAGGAGTCCCTCATCGAGTCAGAGGAAGAATTTGGACAGTTTGGGACGGAGCATGTCCAAGCACCTCACCAAGACCCAGCACGGGAGAATGGGGAGCGACTTGATCACGACAACTTCTTCGCTGCTTTCGATCAGGACGCTGCCGAAACAAGCTCAGGGTCTCACCCAGCTGAGGAGCCTCTTTTTGATGCTAGGTTTTCCCCTGTGCAGTCATTAAACCCATCGCAAGCCACTGATAATGTGGACCTGTTGAACATCAGTGTTAGAGGCCCGGCCGAGACGTCTGGAGCTACAGACACAGTGACAAAGCGAGGAATTGACGGTGTAGACCTGATGGATCCAGGCCCATCTGATCCAAGTAATCTTGATCTGCTAGTGGACCCCTTAGCAGCAGAGTCTCTTAAGTTTAGTGGAGGAAGTACCAAACAGTATATGCCAGGAGATGCATTTGATCCATTTCAGCAACCTACGCAGTCAACCACTGTAAAGACAACTCACCCTCCTACTCGCTCACAGTCTGCAAGAGCAGCCCCCACTTCCAAACCAGGGGATTCCTTTGATCCGTTCAACCCATCACCCTCCAGAAGGAGGTCTGAGAAAGCTTCCCCACAGAAACAAGTTTTCTTTGATATCGGGGATGCTGGTAATGATCTTTTGTTTGATCCACTCAGTGGGAAAGGAGCCCCACCAGGTGGGAATTTGTCACCACAAGTTGCCAATCTCCAGAACATGTCCAAGATATCACATAGCAGTGATAACCTACTTGGCGACTTTGGCAACTTATCAGGAGCAACACTGTCATCTCCACAAAGGACTAGACCAACTCTTAAGCAGGTACAAACAAGAACATTGCTTGATCATATCTTTAAAATCTAGCTCATGTGTGGTAAACTTTCAGTTTGTGTCCTAAGAACCAGTGCGTCTGTACCCTGTTAAACCTCCGTTTTCTAATTGATGAAATCTGTTAAAGTCAAAATCAAAAAATCACATAGATCGTCATGATTTCAATCTTCAGAGTCATAGTGGACCCAATTTGGCTGCAGCATGGAATGGTACATCCCCACCCACAAGCCAGACAACACCCATGGGCAGACCCCAGGGGATGGGAATGGGACAGACAGCAGGTGGCACCCCCACACACCAAGCCAAGGCAACAGCTAGCAGTGCTAATGACCCATTTGCTGATTTTGGTAAGATATTAGTTGACATCATGCAAGTTTGCCCGGCATATTTGTTCCTCAGTAAAATCTGTTTTAATAGTGGGACATAATTACTTTGGGGTCTTTTCGTTTGATTTTACTAAATTGCAGCTAATTTGTTTCGTTAACTAGGCTTCCAAAGTAATGTTCTTCTGTGGGTAAAGACTTTACACTTTTCTCATATGAGATGAGCAATACTCTTTATAAACTTTAAAAGTCCATCACCTCTTACTCACTATTGAAAAGATTCCAAGTTTTCTCAGCGTAACAGTTGTGAACAGTTGAATGCTGCCGTATCATCCTTGTAGGCAATCTTGGTACAAACCTACCTTCAGGGGGAGCAGGGTCGCAGTCATCATCCTTTGGTAAATGGCAGCCCAAAGCCACAGCCAGCCACGGTGCTGCTGCATCCCCTAAACGGCAACCGCCCTCAGCACCCCAGGCTGCCAAGATTCCAACCCCCCAACCCCAGCAGCAACAGCAGCCTCAGGCCAAGCCTAACTATTACGCCAGTGGCTTCACTAGCGTGATCGGAGGGCGTGAGGAGAGAGGAAAGCGAACACCTTTTCCTACAGCTGGCAGTGGTTAGTAAACAACAGGAAGGAGTTGTGTGAGGGGGGGGGAAGAAGTGTTCTCAGTTTACACCTTTTCACCATCACCTACAAAGAACGTCAGCCATCCTATTCCCTTCTTCATTGTGAAGTCATTGTTTAGCCTTGTTTGATTTAGAGAGCTACAGGATTGTCTCAAACTGGTACCGGTGGGGAACCCAGGGGTCAAATCTCATGACAAAAACAACTGGACCACAGAACCTCCTAGAGCTTACTGAACTGGCACACTTGTTGCAAGACCAACACAGTAACATAAGTCAGGAATCAACTGGTTTGTTAACAAAGCAGTATCTCAGAGGCTACATGTATAACACATATGCCGTAATCTTTACGAAAATAAAGCTCATGTAATTTCTTATTAAAAATTTCTGATTAACTCATAGATAAATATATAATACAAAAGCACAAGACTGCCGGACTTGTACTGGAATTGATGCTACAAGACCAAGGTTAAAATTACTAGCCTCCAACCACTGGTCCAGTGGGTATTTGGAACCCTACAGTCCTGGTCATTGTTGGTTGACAGCTTTATGCAACAGGTGGCAAATGGCCTCATAGCAAATGTGCCTCCAGATAAATGCATGTAAAAAAGAATGAACTGAAACTATGACAAATTCTTCGCAAAAACCTTAATGCTGAGGTTAAATAGGTGTTTTGTTAGTACTTGCTCATTTGTTTACAGAAGTTTCTTTTCAGAAATTCAGTAAAATTAAGAGTTCATTCGTCGTCATCTGGATTGTCCATCAAAGAACAAACTTCTGAAGTCAAGGGATACCAGTACTGTTTCATTTGTGCTCATGCTTTTAATTACCCACAAAATTCAGGTTATGACAAAAATGGTTAATACCGTGTTTCTTGCAGGGCCAACAAAGAAAAGTGAATTTGAAGATTTGCTGTCATCGCAAGGTTTTACGGCTTCATCAAAGAAAGATGAGCATAAAACAATTAATGACATGAAGAAGGAAGATCTGGTGAAGGAAATGGACCCTGAAAAACTCAAGGTAAGATCACAGAATGGTTCTCCTAGATATTTTAAAGCTAGTGTCTATTTTCTGCTAGTTCCCCTCGGCTAGCTCCCCTTTGAATCCACAGTTTTCAAGAAATGTACCTAGCAAATCATAGTGTGGACTGCATATTAGAGATTTGTGTTACCAGTGTTAGCCCAAGGAAGTTGCACAAGTTCCAACTGAATCTTATATGCTCCTTTCAGGGATCAATATCCTAAGCATCAGATGATTTGCTTCACATGTAATGTCACAAGCATTTACTGGGTCTGTTAAAATGCTTCAGGAATAAACCCTTCGTTTGTTGATGGCTTGTCAGTCTGCCACGATGGAGTGTTTGCCATCCTCCCCCAGTGAAAAATGCCATGCCTCATTCTAGTGATTTCTTATCCCTAACCCCCTAGGCCTTTTTACCAGGAACCATCGTCAATCCAAAGTCCTCCAAAATCCTCCGATTTTCAACATGGAAAAATTGCATTCAGCCTCAATCCTCCAAAATCCTCCAAAATTTCTTGAAAATGTTTTTTGGAGGTCTGCCTGCTGCCTCAATCCTTCAAAATCCTCCAGCAATTCCTGTCATTATGTTGAGGCAGTGCGAAGGGCATTCTTGAGCAGTGCGGTTGATTCAAAGGGAATATCGGGCTGACTTTGTGCTTGACTAAGCAAAAACAATACAAGGTCTAATCCACGACCTTCGTGCATGGCATCCTTCGTAATCAGCCATGCACTTTTGCCATTCACCCTCAATCCTCCAAAATCCTCCAAAACTGCCCGAAGGATTTTGGAGGATTGAGGAGGGTTAGGGTTATTGTTGTGTACTTCATAATGTGGTAGATATTGAGAGGGTTAGTTTCTCAGGTTGTTCTGTATGAGATCAGGAGTTCATACGCAAAGTGGTAATTAACCAGAAATATTGAGTTGGAGAATAGTTTCATACTTTCAAAGTGTGTTGTCCTTCTGGTTCACAGATTATGGAGTGGACACAAGGGAAGGAGCGTAACATCCGGACCCTGATATCCAGTCTGCATACAGTACTATGGGACGGGGAGAGTCGATGGAAACTAGTAGGAATGCATCAACTAGTCACACCTAATGAGGTGAGATGCCTGGGGTTGGTGCTTGGGGAGGGCAAAGGGTGACATGAACCCTGATATTCAATAGAATTACGTGTCACATGATGTTCCCTTTGGAGATGCAGAGATTGAATTCATGCAATCAGTAATTGTGAATGTACGTTTGCATCTGGAAGAGGCGATATTTGGTTTGTTACTTGCCAGTGTAATTGAATAAGCATGTCATGCTCAGTGCTTTGTGAGGGCTTGCAAGGAAGAAACAGTTACAAGCTTACTCGGGAAGGACTTGAACACTGAGCTTGTCAGGTTCACCTGGTTGATTCAAATCCATTGTGACGTCAGATAATATCAGGTGCCGTAATCAGTAACTATGGATTTGCCAACTAAACTCTACGGCTAACTGCAACTCTGGATGAAAGCTTTTTAAAATATTTTAACTTTGCTTGCTATTTTTCATGGCAGGTGAAGAAGTTTTACCGCAAGGCCTGCCTGTGTGTTCATCCTGACAAACACACGGGCACACCCAATGAGTCCCTGGCCAAAATGATCTTCATGGAGCTGAACGATGCCTACGCAGAGTTTGAGGAAAGCGGCATGAAATCATTATACTAGCCAGTGAAACTGCATTCCCCTTTTTCCTTGCCTTAGCCCCACCTCGCAAGGAATCATGTACCTACAAGGGGCATATCTATTGCTTTTGGAGTTATCCCAACAGGAACAAGTCTGGATTGTCATAATCATGTTCCCAACTGGTTGTTCTGGAGAAGTTGTGCACGTCATCAGCTATCCTGCTTTATGCATTGAATAGCTTTCGTAGTTGCCCTGTCTACATCAAGGAGGCTATCTACCAAAGTGAATTTAAAGCTCTTGGAGTCCATCACGTGACTGCAGTGGTATAACCATCCACAAAGAAATGCTTTTGTCATGGTTCATTTGGATAGCTTGTAATTTAAGACTAGATGACTTGTGCTAGAGTTGGTTGGACGTGTGAGGACTGTGATGTACTTGGCGATAACTCTTACCTATTGGCTACTGAATATTTCATGTGTCGACAGTTTGTAATATCGATTTTTCTCATTCTTAAAAAATGAATTGCTCAGATTTTTGGTTAATGACATTTTGTCTTTTATTCTGATTTTCCAAAAAAAAAAACTTAAATAAGTTTTTATAGCCAACGGTTTTTCCTTATTTATAAAAATACTAATATTCACTGCCAACTGTAGCACACATGATGCTTGAAGCTAACCAACTGTTCTCCCTGCACAATGTAAAGATGGAACTCTGGCTCTGTATTTTGAATGCACCAAATTCTGTATCTTTTTTTGCGGGTCCGTGAGGAAACTAGTGTAGTAATGATTCCCATTATTGAATCACAATAGTGTATCAATTCAACAGGCAGCCTGGTAAAATCCAAGGTGATTGTAAATGGAGGGTGGGACATTTACATGTTTAAACAGTATGAGAAAGTTTTAATGTTTTTCAAAATTAAACGTAAATTCCCTCCTTTATTGTGAGTCCATTGAACTGGGGAATGTATACATTTTTCCTTGGTTTATATAGCAGGGATCAGTCTTACCAAACTTACTGTAGCTAAAAAATCACAGGCCCAATAGGATAGGGTCTCTTGTGTTACTTTAACTAAACTCACAAATGTGACGAGTCAGCGTTGTGTAAACAATAAATGTTTTATGCATTTACTCAAACAATAAATGGTTCTCAAATTTTCAGCGAAGAGTTGCCAGATGGTCTTTTGAAAAATGTCAGAATTTAAAAAGGCAAATTATCCTGACTTTAGAAGAAAGTGTGTGTACTGGATATCAACTTAGGCCCATTTTATTGATTGTTGACTGACAAGTAGCTCTGAAGAGATTTGTATGTAATGCTGATACCATGATCCACGAAAATAATGAACTGCACTCAACCCTTTAGAAATTAGTTGAAAATACCTACAGCACTGTGACTTGACATTAAGATGCCACCCATCACGGTTAAAGTGGATCGTAATGCTTCGTGAAATTGACCCCTGATGCTACATACTATATCTTTGTGTGAAAAATTGGCCTCGTCGTGTGATTGTGGAGTTAAAGGGATTACTGCACACTTTTTAAAGATAAAGTTGGCGTAATTTATGGAGATGTATCTATCCACGTCCATCATGTCTTCTCCCAATGTAAAGTGTGCTGTGGATGTTAGTTCTTAAATATGGAGCTTAATACCAAGATCTCGTCTTCTTTTTTTAAAAGAGAAACCGATTTCTTGGTGATATTCAACTTAGTTTATGGCAATATGATTCTCTTTGTCTGTGCAACTGACCTTTAATGAAACCTAGTTAAGGATATTCCTCCCTTTAATGACACATTGTAATCAAAAAAATCCAAAGTTGCGATTGTGGAAACTAGTGTTTACCCCAAATTCACCTAATATAAAAAGTGAATGCATGTGCGCCTGGTTGTCAGTCTACATGAGAACCTGAGGTCGCAGAGTTCAAATTCTACATATCCAACCTTCATCTAGAGTTGCTACTGAGTCAGTAAAAAGTCTGTCACGTCAGTCCAGAAGTCAATTTGTAAGTCCATTTACAAATCCGGTCTAAACTGAAGGATGAATAATGATAAAGGAGTGCCCTTGTCACAGTTCATTCAAACAGCTTGTGAGTAGGAATGACTTTTGATTGACTCGAGTACAACTCGGCCTAAATATTAAATTCAGTATAACGTGAAAATGGTAGCTAGTGGAAATTGGTGTGTCACTTCACTATACATGTACACATATCAGGCTGTAAAATGCTTGTCACATCTATGTGTGCTTAATTTATTTCTTAAACTTTGCAAGTCATTTACACGTTGCATTTACTTTGTGGCATTTATTTACATATGAAGCTTGCAATCTGTGATAGTGAACATGAAAATAACATACACTTTTTAAAATTGTGTAATAGTAGTTTCAATGTTTGTCATTACAAAGATTTGTAAAGTATTTATTGTACATAGGATAGATATTACGAAGAATGGGCACAGATCTTCCACCTTATTCAAACATATATATGCAGGCCACATAACTTCTGTTGTTTTTGTTTTTTTTACAACTTGTTTACCAGCATGTATATATCAATCTACAAGCTGTAGTAACTGATCTACAAATCATACTGTGATGTAAAAATGGCATATTGTTAATGCCTGTATAAACGTGTTGTTTTCTCCTAAATTGTACATTCCAATGTTACAACACCTGATCAATTCTGAACAGCACTGCTTGTTGCTACAAGGTAAAGATACACAGTCCACCAAGTGCAAATGAATGCTGAAGATTCTGATCTTTAACCCTCAGAGGAATTCACAAGTCACTGATCTGCTTGTAGTTTGTATTTAGTTAACACATTTTGATGTGGGAAGTGTAACATTTCGACATGATTCCTACAAGTTGTAATGTGACTCTGGCCTTCCATGTTTTGTATGGGATAATTTCATTAAGCACATTGCTTGCAGACTGAAATTTTTGGTTAATGCCTAAGAAATAGTTCTACTGGATAGAATGGTTAGCCTTTATCGGCCTAACATGGAGTCTGCCATACCTGTCAAGATATTCACAGCATGAACATTGAAAGAGAAAATGGATATTTTGATTAGTTTCAAATGTCTATTTCAAACAAGGGCTTTCAAGCTGGCATTGTAGATATGAGGTACTTTAGAGTTCCTAAGAATGAATACAATAAATGAACTGTACATTTGCAGCATCTACGTTGGGGAACAAAGACGAGCATTTACATTATTTGATGTTTGAATATCATTTCACCTATATATAACTGTCAAACGAAACAAGTTTTGAGCTATGATTTGACCACTGTACCTTTTGGTATTGGGGACTAGTTGCACAGGCCTAGCTATGATCAATCCTGAAATACTCAGTGATTTATCAACTTGTCAAGATGATGTTTAATTGTTTGGGAAAAGCAATGGAATGCTTACTGTCCTAATTGTTACATAAAAATCCTAAGATGTACATGTTAACAAATAATAACATTTTGTATGGCTGTTTTAAGCTCCCTTGTATCTTAAGTAAGGAAGGAATCATTTGTTTAATATAAAATGAATAGTGTGGTCAAAATAACAAAGGGACATATAATATTACTGTGCCGAGTTTTTTTTAATGACTAAAGTACAGAGGGACAGAATTGATGGAAACCTTGAACGGCAGTGTGGGCAGTAGTCCATCTAAGTAAGAATTCGTAATTCCTCTGCCCTCCCCCCCCAAAAAAATTGCTGTGTTCTTGCCTGGAGTTGACTTTTTGTGGGTGTGACCATTGTTTCTGACATCTAAATGGCCAAGAAAGGATGTCTGGTCCGATTCTGGGACCTGTTTTTGCTATGAGCACGTCACAAAAACATGCATGCTGTTGAATGATTCCTGTTACCACCTACCATAAAGGAAGTGCAATATGGCTGAACTGCAACTCTCAAAAATGTACACCATCTTTTCTTTTGTATGTTTGAACACAAGCTCAAGAATCCATTGCTCACTCATACTCTGCTGAAACTGGTTGATGGCTTGTACACTGTCCTTGAATTCTATTGTCAAACTTAATTTGGCATGCATGCAATGGCGTCTATATTACACAGTATTTCATCTTTGCCGACTAGTCTATGTTTGGCTTTCACAGGAACGAAACTTTCCCTCAGATCAGCCAATTTTTGAAAACAATGCAAAATGTCTTGTGCAGCCTGAGACTTCCCTCTCTTCAATTGCATGTCAGTTTTTTTATTGGACAAGTTGGGCTTCCAATCTCTGTGACAGCTCACTGACTGTACGGCGGAGTCTGGGTGGATCAGTGAGGAAGTAAACAAATAGGCGACGCTGCCTGGCAAGCAAGGGGTCTCCCTTCAACACCTGTTGAGAAATGATTCCATTAGAACAGAAAAAAGTTAGTTTTCAATCGATTTGCAGACCTGGATTTAAGACTTGGTGTGCCACAGATGTACAACGCAATTTGTAGAAAGGTGGACATGAGGGAATTACTGACATGTTGAATGTGACTGTAAAGAGGTGTGATCAGGAAGTGCTGAGCAGCTGAATGGATGTACTTAAAAATTTCATGGTAGTTGGGAAGTAGACCGGAATTACTCTGCATCGCCCATACATCTTTACAGTCAGATGGGTGTTGCTGTAAGTACATATGCATGTTTATGTTTTACATTACTGTAATGCTTGAACAATATTTGGAGTTGTGATCGACTATTCCAGTCTTGCCTAGCAAGGCTGGATGCTCTGCTGATTATTACTAGCAATCAATAGTCAGTGGAGAGCTTGGCCCAGGTTTTGCTGATATCCGACCATAGTGAACATGAGCAGTGAGCCACTTTGACATTCCAACAGCACATGTCCAAAATGAAGCTCCTTTGAGGTCATTCAGGAATGGGAACAGCAACATGCAAGTATCAGGTCTCCCCCGTCAGCCAACTCATATGCATGCTGGCTCACCAAGGCACAATGTGCATCAACCTTTGCTTGACCAGTAATTCCCAACTGAATTACTGGTCAAGCAAAGGTTCTTTTATAGACTCTTCAGTTCCCATTGAATACATGAGATACTGATCGTTGATGTAAATAACCCCTATATGTCTTAAATTATCGTTGTTTTACACTGAGTGATGTATGAACTCTAATGCATTATCACATCACAGGTTTTGCAAACAATTTTGAAACTTTAGTCTGCAAAACTGACAAAAGATTTGTGAAATCCTGAAAATGACTTGTATTTCATCAGAGACAATCTACACATTGACACAGTGTCACAGTAGTTAAAGCGTAACTGAATGAACTTTTCTACGACACAATTTTTCTGAAACGTTATACGTGAACTCTTCTTCAGTGAATGAAACCTATTTTCCATCCCTATCTGGTCAAATGCATTGAAAGGTGCTGTTTTTACAACATTTAATATTATCCATTCTTTCCAGGACAACAGAGGGCGCTGTTCCTGTAATGTCATCCAGGGAAGACAGAGTTCAGTGCATAGGTTTTTCTTTTCTATGAGAATTTACTCACTGAAAACATATCTGAGAGAGGGTTGATTGCTTGTTATTGTTATGTTCATATGAAAACACAAAAGAAGAGAAAACTTAGTCCAGCAAAAACCACAAAAATGCAGGAATTTTACGTATAAACCAATGTAGCGTTGGTTGTCGCTTTCTTCCTGAGATGACATCACGGTTTTGTTTATGAATGTGGAAATACTTGTCAGCATAAAAACCAAAAAGACAGCAACATATCCTTTGAAGTGGTGAAACATAAGTTGAAAGTCAGGTTAACTTAGACACAAAAGTACATTTTTTGAAGGTTTGTTTAAAGAAATATTACATTGCAGCTACTCTTTCAGAAAGAAATCTCACCTTAAGTTTATTGTTGTAATCCCCTATTATATCCCGGATGGTCTGCTCCAGTTTCTGTAGTGTTTGATCTAACCGGGTGATTCCATTCATCAAGTCAGGGGGGCTCAAGACAGGCTGACCATCTACTGTGGCTGAGCCAGCATACACCATGTCTTCACATCTCTTTAAAGTCGATTCCCTATAAATACAGGCAATGGTGAACAATCAAGCATATTACTGAATTTTGGCAAAACATAAATAAATGTATCTTCTCTTTGAATACATGGCCTGAAATTAGTTCCAAAGTAATACTTTTGATTCTTGCCTAAACCCAGAAATATACGTCAGAATGACACAAATAATGGCATTAAGTGGTATCAAACACTTTACAGAGGGCTATGACCTCTCTCGGGTGATATTTTTTTATTTCAATATAATTTCCAACCTCGGCTGTTTTACTGTACGTGTAAGTGCATTGAAATGCTAGCATACAGTAGATGACAGTCCACAGAAATATTCAAAACAGGCCTATTTGCTCAGAATTGGGATAAGAAAAAGGTTCTGCTCATTTACAATGAAAAATTTGAAACTGTACACGTCGTTCAGCAAGCAGTCTAATCAGCGCATTGTTGGACACTGCATCAGGGAGGTGGTCAGTCATTGCTATCAACATGTCCAAAGTAGTCTCTCAATAAATATGATGCTGCTTCACCCATATGCATGCAAACCCTTCAGCATAATGAGGAACGTTATGTCAGTAGCATTATTTCACAATATTTTTGTGATGTGGGATGTATTTTGACACCCGAGGGATTTACAGCACCTTAGGCAAAGCCAAGGATACTGTGCGTCCCCCAGTCAATAATGATTATCCCTTTGTCTTGAATTCCCTGCATTATTTCTGGCCTGAAGGTTTTGAATCTAATTCCAAACAGCAAGTGTCTCGGTCCACTGCCACACAGAATGTTGTATGATGTACACAGACTGAATGCATCGCATGATTGGTTTGTGTTGGTCACAAGTGTCTCAAAGAAGTTATTTTTGGAGCAGAATCTGCATGTGTCTTCAAGCTCAGCAGACAATTATGTTAAGAAACATTCACAACAAAAAGGACTTCAACCACGGACAAAAAATTACAGCACTCCAACATTTGATCTACAATAAAAACAGCAGACGTTCTAACAGAACTTGTCAGGCACAACATTTCCCACTTACAAATCAGCCAGCCGGGAATCCTGGCTACTATTTGTAGATGATAACATCTCTTGAACTGAAGCCAGTCTCTCTCCAAGCTGTCTAGCGCCCTCTAGCAGGCTACTGTATGTCAAAAACAGCTGTTGGTGACCGTTCTTCTCCTTGTCATCAACTAGACAACAAAAAAACATGTTTTAGTTTTAAGCAGCATTTAGTTTGGTGCTAAAATTATAGTTTTTAATTCCCAGATTGCTTCACAAAATGATATGGAATGGTAAATGCCACAAGTAATGATGCAGGAGGCATTATGGAATTTCTTGGAGGTCCAGGCGTGGGTATGTCTGGGATGCTTCATCAATCATGGCACAATTAATGCAAGTCATTTTAGGTGTGGTAACTTGAAGCAGACAGTTTTCAATGGATGAGTTTTTAACTCAAGACAGCAGCAATAAGCCTATCAAATAAACTTTATCAAGAAAACCTGAAATAAAAAACTTGTTTCCCGCTGAATTAATTTTGCAAGTTGGCAGCTACTTCTGACAAAATGATAATTTCAAGAATGGCAGATAAAGCTAATTCAATAACTCTTTTGTGACATCAAAAAAAGCTGCTGAAAAGAAGTGCTTTGTCTTGTCCAAGATGTTTAAAATATTGGTATACTGCACAAACTTACTGCACAAATCCTACCCATAGGACCGGTTTTGCACTTTTTGTACATTTTTATTTCAATTCCTTGAGATATTTACCAATGATGCTATGCAGTCTGTTGATAAACATATCCCGGCTATCAATTGTGTTGCGAATACCAGATGGTGGTGTTAGACTTGGGTCAGACATCATACGCTGTGGACAAATGAACATGGGCTTGTCAAAGGTCTTCCAAGATATTACATCAAATGCTCTGAGGTTGTTAATCCTGCTTCCTCTGAAAAGTTTGACTTGCCTGTATAATGTAGGTCTCAAGAAAGTTACTTTACAGTAACCCAACCAACTTGCAGCGAAATTTCCAACCTTAAGTGATATTGGCCATTAAAGGAGAGTAGAGTAAAGAGTAAAGTAAAGTGGTTAAAAAGTTGCAAAACTTATATGTTCCTAGAACGTGCATGGAGAACTTTGCAAGACATAATTATTAACGTGTAATTTTTTAACACAAGAATCTGGAAGGATAATTTAAAACAGCATTTGCGTTTGAATGAAATGTGTTAGGAAGAGGAATCCTACTGACCATTCTAGATTGCCGAGCTTGAAGATTTCTTGATAGCAGCTGCTCTGAAGCTGTTAGCAGACGATGGGTCTCACGATGCCTGTGGGCCTCAACCTCATAGGCCATCAGTAGGAACTTGTGACGAGATTGCTGATTGGTCAACTGTTCTATCAGCTGGAATAAAAACAAGGGCCAAATCTGTCATAAATGTATAATTATAATTGACTTTTAGCGGATGTGAGATAAAGCTGGGGTAACAGGTCGATGAAGGATAGAACCACTATGCTTTAATACTAGATCTTAATTAAATTTCCCTCGAGTTAAAACAATTTGCGAATGCAGATCCCACAAAATGCGTCTTAACAAGTAAGATTTAAAGCTTTGCATGGTGGAAGAGACATGAGAAATGGGTTTGCGGGTACACCATGGAATCAATCTCTTTTAGGCTTTTAAACTGTGGTTCTTAAAAGAACCGGTGAGAGTTTAACTCGATGTTTCAGCCAGTGTGCTCTGGCCGTCCTCAGGAGAGTGTGCCGGACTGGAGTGGATAGAGAAGACCCTAATGTCTGGGGTTTGGGGGGATGAGTTTCGGGTATAGGGGACCCCACTGCCTGGGAGGGGGTGTCTGCTTGGGTGCTAGTAATGGGAGCCAGATGTTGCTGAGCTTGAAACCGATGTCTTGGGGTATGGTGTTGTGCCAGAAAACAGCAGTGGGGACAAGCACCCACCCAGCAGTCGCCCCGGTGTATATCGCATTCCACGTGAATGTGGTCAAGTATACATCGGGACAAAGCAGAACTCAGCGCCCCCATCCAGAACTGGCTCCCGAGGAGAATCCCAGAAGTCATCAAGATCTTCCAGCACCACACCGTACCCCAAGACATCAGTTTCAAGTTCAGTGACATCTGGCGCCCACTACTAGCACCCAAGCAGACACCCACTCCCGGGCAGTAGGATCCCCCATACCAGAAACCATCCCCCCCCCCGCCCCAGGCATTAGGGTCTTCTCTACCTGAAGCCACCCTCGTCTCCTCCCCCTTGGCATAAGGGTCCCCTATATCCAAACCCAAGGTTTCCTGCCAATTCCAAGATCCAACACCTTCACGCAACAAGCACACCCTGAGTAACACAACCCGCGAATCCCATTCCACGCTCCACCGCTTCTGGATTACCTTTATAACCAGCTATCCACTCCAGTCCGCCACACTCTCCTGGGGACGGCCAGAGCACACTGGCTGAATCGTCGAGTTAACACTCAGCGGTTCTTTTAAGAACCACACCTCACCCAAAAGAGATTGATTCCTTGATGTACCCGCAAACCCATTTCTCGAGTCTTAACAACATTTTTTCAGTAATTTATTAACATTTTATTAACAAGAGCAAACGGAGCATTTAGTTTTGATGTATCACTCAGTTGAGCATCTTACTAAAAGTGGACATTAAGTGGAACAAAAATGTTGGGGATTTCCATTGATTCACACTGTGCAAGATTCTTTCACGGGCCTTTGACTTCACGGTGGCCCTGCTGACTCATGACACATTTTGTTAAGTTGGGTTACAAAGTTGTTACCTAATACCTATGAACTTTCTGTAATTGAACAATTTAATAAAGGAATTTAAACATGTGCTTGACCAGATCAAGAGATTGGATGCTGATAGTGTGCATTCTTCTGAAATTCTAAAGTTCCAACAATGTCATTCCACAAGTTTTATTTCATTTTTTTCAACCACATACTGCATGAAGTAGAGAACAATGCAATGAAAAGTGGAAAGTAAATTTGAGTCTCTCAAAATTGAGACCCATTGTCAGTATTGCACATTCAAAAGGGAAGATTAGGCCAAAACAAAAAAATCTGCTTCCGATTAACATTCCTCCTAAAAATACGGTTGGTAGGCCAGAAATTTTTTAGGGGGGTCAATTTTTTTACTGATTTTGCTGATTGAATAGCATGAATGGGGAAAGCTATAAAAATCCCTCAAAAAGGGATAAAAACTTGCCTTAACCACTTCATGCTGGGGCATTTTTCAATGTTGATGATGCTGGGCCGGCATGACTATCATTTTTTCCATTTTCAAAATCCTTCAAAAATTCATCATTTCATTTAGCGGTCGTTTATAGCCGCACCNCAATGGGGCCAGATTAGCGTGCAGGGGTGCTGTGTGGCTCATCGCTGCGGGGGTGGAGCGCTTGTCCCCAGTGGTAATCCGCTCACTCTAAATGCCCCAAACCCTGGTATACGGTTTCAAAACAAGGCTGCATTATCCCCACTTTTGAGAGTGAAAAATGTCGGTAATGCCCTGCAGCCTGGTCTTTTGTTCGGAGTACGGTCTTTTGTTACAGGGCCCTGTTTCCTTTGTCCGAGTTCAGAGATCCCGGCCACCTATATAAACCATACCTCTCCAATCCCGGAGTCCCTGGCAGGAAGTGGTTAATCTATGTCAAAATTTCTACAGTCGATAATTCTTATGAATTACGGACAATTTACATCACTATGCACAATGCTAGTCATGTAATCACAACAACAAACTGGCCAAAAGTGTCTGTGTATTGCGTGGTAAGCGTTCATGACACATCCAGATAGGCGGGCAATAAACCTTGTGCCACGGCAGGAAATTTTGTGGAAGCATGCTTGCTTAAAGGACGAGCAAAGCAGCCCGAAATTTAACTCATGAACATAATCTTGGCATGCTGACCCAAGACTATGAGAAAAAGATTCATTTATAACTCACTCATACCTGATCTTGTTTGGAAGTGAAGTAGTCTTGTCTCATGATCTTTAAGTTATAGTCTCCGTACAAGACCCTTGTAGCTTGTAGCACTGCATTCTCTTGGATCAGGTCATAAAGGTCAGTCTCTGCAACCTTTGCCCCTATCCTCTGGATGGACTGGAATTTGCTTTGCACCTCTTTAAGTCGTTCACTAAAACCAAATAATAACGCAGAAATACCAAGCAACTGAAGGCAAACACAATTAAATAGAAAACTTGATAAATGTATGTGGTACCTTCAAGATTTGACCAAGGTTTCAGTAACCTTATTGTCACACTTGTTTCACCAACATGTGTCACATACAGAACATACATACACGTGCTCACACACTGGTAACTGCAAGACTTCTGACAGTTTCAATTTATATGTGATCAAATCTTGAAGATCCCGCTAAAGATGATCAGAACACAACATATTCAAAAGTTAGTAAATTGGTATGCCGGGATGCCAGGGAGTTCTCAGTCCAGGGCCAGACAATTTTCGCACCTGGGTAAAGTAGGCATAAAAGTACCGGAAAATACGGGTGAAATACGTACGCTGGGAATTTTACTAAAAAAGCTGCAAGTGATGAACATCATTGGCAAAAACACCTGAGTATCCGGCCCCTTTTTCTGATGAACTAAACTGTACTTTTGACTTGAGCTAAATTGTACTCTGGCCTTTATTTTGCTTGAAAAAGTGTGACCACTTGTGTGTTGGATTTTTTGTGTGGCTAGCGATGGCTAACCGGCAAAAGCACAGTCTGGTAGCACATGATGAACTGTGCTTAATCTTCCCTAAAGCGTAGGTGTATGTAATGCTAGTCCAAAATGAAACGGCCATCCAATGTGTTCTGATTCTAGCCAGTGTTAGTTGAACTTATATTTCACACTTTCAATAATTAATTTTACATTTTCAGCACTTTCAACTTCCATTTCGACATCTTTAGACGTCAAAACTTAACACAACGACCAACTGTGACACATGAAACGATGCCCATGTGTGTACATGTTGCACACACTCACTATCACGAAACCATGATGCATGAGCATAACTGGTTCCCTACTTTAGCTACATGTATCTAAAGTGAATAAGAGTTGCATGGGAACCGATGAAGCTAGACTGGATTTCCAAATACTTGTCTCTCAAAGGACGCTGCTTATCCGGTGCCCCACGCTATGTGGAGATCAAATCATTATTTCACAATATTACAGCACACCGGATATTGGAAGGTGCTGTCTTTTGAAAGTTTTAGTGAAAGTTAACCTGAAAGTTCCTGTGTTAAAAACATTGTTTTAGCCCACAAATACCGAAGAACAGATCTGGTTTTTCCCCCAAATACGAGAAAGCTGAAATTCCGGCAATTGCCAAAAGTCTGATATCCCTGGGTAAAGTTTTTCTCACCTCAGCTCAGTTACGCTACTTGAGTACCCTTGATGAGTGAGTGACTGTAGCTTGTCACCAGTGAAGTTACAGGCCGCAAGTAAGCGAGCCTCCTCAACTTGAGCCTTAATGCATCTTCTCTGACTGGTTGGGTAGCTAGAGAAGTAAGAAATATGGAAAAGTGCTTGACAGAGTGCGGTAACATTCACATGCACGGAGGGTGTACAAACTACAAAGACAAGGATTCATGATAGACAAAAAAAAACTGAACTCGACTAGCATTTGGTGGCCTGCAAGCAAAAAGATTCGGTGTTTTCCTTTAGCAACAGAAAAGTAAAAACCTAAAAGAAAAAACTCCACTGAAAATAACCTTAAGAATGTGCAGGAACCCCTCATGAATGGATGTATACGAAGTGAAGCTAAGCCCCCCAAAATGTGCCTGTCCAAAAAAACATGAAACACTGATGACAATTAGTGTTGAAGTCCAACCATCATCTAACAACATCAGCAGCAGTCACAGAGCAGATCAGTTTGGTATCAGTTACTTCATTACACATCAGTGTGTCCATTTCTACAGATAGAATACCTAAGGCAATGATAGACAGTACAACAGCACTACAGAAAAACCCAAACACAGTACTCACAGTGCTTGGAGCCTGGCCAATTCTTTGCAGTCGCTATTGGTCACGTGTTGCTTCTCTCCTCTGATAGCTAAACTGCTGGGGTTACTGATGTCTAGGATCTGGTAGCGTGACCCTTCATCATGGCCGACCAATTCTGCAATGCCCTGGCATTTATGACATCAAAAAAGGTACTTTTGACATGAAGAAAAGTCAGCTAGTAATGTAAATCAAATTTCGGTTCTTTGAACTTGCTATCTCAGAATTTCAGCAAACTCCAGTGAAGTCTAAATGTTAGTGAAGCCCTTTCCCCCTGAACGAATACGATTTCTAACCTCAAAAAACTGCTTTTTGGTAAAGCCTGTTAATTCTTGGGTGAATCGCTCTTCTGTGTGATGATAGTGGTCCAAGGGCTGCTGGGATAGGAACACAGCATCATGGGATGTGTTTGATGGATCACTGTCTGAGTTCATGCCATCAATGCGGTGATATAACTGAAGCAGGTCTTTAGTAGCCTGGCTTAGTCTCTCAAGTGCTGTGTTCATCTGAGAGCAAATGGTGAAATAGTACATGAATAACAAATGTTCGCGAGTTCATTGGTAAGAATAATTCTATGAGGTTACTGACGGCATGTTCCATTCTACAGGGCCAAGCCAAGTGGAATGGAACATTCCATCTATCACCTCATGAAATTACCTTTCCATTGTATGAATGTGGAATACCTGAATAAATCTTGGTGTACAATTCACCACTTATTTTCTCAGTTAGGCCTAACACTGCAACATGAAGTTCTCAAGTATCAAACATGTTGTGCATGAAATGGCTTGAAGAACTTCTTTCCTCACCTGAACATTGTCTGTCTGGCTCTGTTCAAGTTTCTTCTTGTAGTGGTTTTTAGTAGCTGATTCAACCAAACCCATCTTAGTCAGTTTATGAGTTAACCTGGTATGATGAACACTAGAGGAGATCAAGAAAAAGCAAGAATCTTTGAGTGAAACTAAAATGGTCTGGTTCACATATCATCAAAAACGTGTATTGTAAGTCTTAACAGAGGGGTGTAAAACTTGAAATGAACTAAAGTCACCTTAGTTTGTTTCTCTGTTGTAACAGACGTTCTTTCCTCAGCTGCGCTGCTTTAAGCTCTTCTTCCATCTGTAGAATGCCATCCCTTTAACAAAAAGCATTTCAAAGAAGCTATTTTGCAAGAAGCAATTATCTTTCAAGATGCTGTTTGATCACTTGCAGACGTTTTATTTCCCGACGAAACAGTCTCAGATGTGGCATAATTTCTGGCTAATAGTCACCGCTTTTACACGAAGATATCAAGCCACTTTTCATAATGAAGTGGAACACTACGAATGCCGACTGTTGAGAGTCATGTAGCATCATCTTTTCTATACACAATACAATGCTGTAGGGAAATACTTGCCATGATTACCAGCCGTGGTCAGTTCAGAATACCACACATGGTCAGACCTCTGAGTGTGTACAAATTCAATGTAAAGGGGCAGGGGCATAGGAACATGTGTGCACCTTATCTGCTCCTGTAAACAGAAATTACAAGGGCATGGTAACACTCTCCCTGTGAAAATGTCATGGAAAATCGCTGTAAGTTTACACGTCCTGTCGTTGAAAGTTGTAAGAATTCAAGGAATCAAAGTACAACTAAGTCTTTGGCTATCAGCAGTTGGGCTGACTGACCTCAGCATTTCTGGAGAAAGCTCCTCTGTCTCATCGGGAACAGATGCATTCTTGAGTGCATCCTCCAACTGATCTCCCTCTAAGATTCCCTCACCAGACGATTCCAGTATCTTAAACCTCAAACAGATAATTAAAGGATGATTAACAAAGGCCAGCCCAAAACAGTGACTCAGGTTGTGTAAATGATAGGCTTGGAGTTTTTCAATAAGTCAATGTTGTTGAATCTTTCTTTTTATCAAGGGGGGATTACTAAGCACATCCATGCAGTAATCCATGACAGCTGGTCTCCATTGATCTCAAAAACAAACCTAAACTTCACCATGGAAACAAGTATGTTATCAACTTCCAATACCTCCAGGAGCTTATATCCATCCTCAAAGCTTGCTCTAAAGTGTACAGGAATTTAAAAACCTGGGAAATTACCCAACTTTCTTTGATTACAAAAACTATCTCCAGGTGGAACAATTTATTTCTAGAAAAGTAGAGAGCAGCATTTACTGAAAAGTGAGTTAGAAAGTGACTTGAATGTAAACACACAACAGGTTTTATATCAATGGGCCACTTCATAATTTCCTGATCAGATAGAGTTGATGTAATAAATGTATCTTACTCCCTAATTTCCCGGTCCGAGAGGAGGTTGGAGGGTCCTACATTATCACAGAACCAATCCAAGAAGGGTGTCACCACTTCATCGTCAAACATCCAATCAAATCCTTCGATCTGGAGACCATGTGACTCTCCAAAACTAATCCTCTGCAACGCTTCCACCAATCGCCTGCCTCCACTCATCATGTCGTTTTCATAATCAAGGATTTCACTTCTCATAAAATTAATTTTGGCCTGCACATAAAATCAAGTGAATTGGTGAAATGATTGCAGGGATTATAGTCACACATTAACGACAAGAGTGATTCCCTAGAAAGTTGAAAGAATACACAATTGAACAATGACAATACACTAAGTTCAAGTAACTAGGGCATACTTGGCAATCGGTACCCCCAGAACTGTGGGGTTCGTTGTCTGCCGCACTCCCATGAACATGTGCAGCAGAAGATGAACCCCACAGATCTGGGGGTAGGCTCTTAAAGGGTCCTCATTTTCTGGAAAGCAAGCAGTGCAAGATGGAGAACTCTGCCAAAAAGATGTAATCACCATGGGCGCCAATCAGGCAAGCAATAGAGTACCGAAGTGTGACGTCACTGTGAACCAGAAAGTGCAGTGCAGTTGGTTCACGCACTGGTTCTCGCACTAAGGCCTTTTACACACTAATTGTGCATATGACGTATTCACTTCGGTACTCTACACGCCTGGGCAGTGGACATTAACGAACAGGTACAGGCACTGTGCCTGCACACACAGTGTGCATGCCTGGCGCAGTGCCTATGCATTAACGTGCATTGTGCAGACACACTGCTTGCTCAAATGGCGCCCAGGCAATTACGTCTTATGCATATTCACAGTGAAGTTCTCTAGCTTGCGCAGCTATGCAGTGATACATGTATATGATCTTTGATTTGAACTGCAAGTGCTTTGATGGAGCGAAAGATAAAACACTGACTGAGGCAGACTACACATATCACCAGTTTTTTCCTTCCTAAGTTTTGAGAAGGGGAGGGAATATGGCGCACAGGGTTAGGGCATACTTTGTGCCCCTTAATTCTAAACCCCTGGGGTGTATGTAAAAATAATATTAAAATCGGGGATTGAGGACTGTCAGAGTAAATGTGGAACTCAACAAATCACATTTTCTAAACATTTGGAGTTTGGGCATGACAGAGATTATGTATAAAGGTGCAAGTAGAGGGCAAAGGCTCAAGCAAACTTTCTGTGCACATGAGAGGCCTCACAGTTGCAACTGTTATGAAAGTTTTGACAGGTTTCTATCTACTTTCTTGCACCAGTAAGGTGCACTGAAAATAGGAACCAAACCAGTCTACAACAAATGGACCTCAGACTTTTTTCCCTTTAAAAAATTCTCCGGATAAGACCTAAGAATCTTCCAAAAAAGAAAAGAAAAACTTGTAATGTTACAAAAAGTAAACATGCAATCTGATTGATAAAATAAAGAAACAAAAGAAAGAAAAACAAATTCCCATGACAAGTGGGCTCCATGCCAACCTGTAAGGACTGCAGAGCAGCATGCGTACCGATTGTACCATCACAATGCCACAACCATGACAACAGCTGTAGGCCTATGGAAATAAACCAAAGCCTTAGGCCTATAAAGGCTATATACATGTAGACTGGCAATGATAAATGTGCAATACCAGAATTTGGAAGTCATGTTACGGTTACGGAACAAGAGCTACTTCGTAAATTAAGCATGTTAACTTAAAAAATGAAAGAAACCATGGTAACCTTCTTCCTGAGTGTAACTAATAGTAAGCAGGGACCAATTTCATAGAGCTGCTTAAGCACAAAATTTGTTTAAGCACAAAGACCTTGCTTAAAAAACAAAAGTTAGGCCTACCAGTTCAAAATCTATGTGATTGTCATGCTAACCAGGCGATAGGTGAAATGAAAACCACTCCAAAACAACATGCATCACATGGAGTTTGGCTGGTAACCTGATTGTCAAGCAAGGTTTTTTTCATGGTTATGCAAATTTTGTGCTTAAGCAGCTCAAATTGGCCCCTGCAGTTCTGTAGGCCTAACCAGGCAGTAGGAACAGGCCTAAGCAATTTTATTGCAAGGCTTAGCCTTAGGCTAACTTCAAGTTCATATTGGGCGCATATCATCTGATCATCGGGCAACTGTCAATTAGAGTCCTAAGAAAGAGTGCCCATCATGCTAAGAAGATTTAAAAAGTCATTTGTAGAGTCCTAATATTCAGACTAACTTATTTTTAAAAATGCACCTTTTTAACGTCAAGCCTTGGCCAGAACTGTGTACGTCATGTACGTGGGGCGTGTGGTGCGGGTCTTAAGATTTCGCGCTAAAGCAATATATCCTCTGTCATACAATAATTAAATATTATTAACTAAAAATACGAAATAAGGAAAGTTAAACATTATACTGGAGTTTTTAATGAGAACTTATTTGTAGAATAAATAATTTAATTTTTTTTATTTCCAAATTTACAATCATTAGCTTGTTTTTAAACTAATAATAACAACACATTGAAAAGAGCCTAAAGATTTGAACAAAAATGGCGGCGCGCTCGTAGCGGTTGTTTTGACGATTTAAGTGGTTCGTTGCACGGACGTAGCTTAGGCCTTAGTTTTTTCTGTTTTGTTTTTGCTTGAGTTTCAACGGATAAAGATGTCAGCTGAAAAGGACAGAAGAGTAAGTCAACCAGGTTTTGTATGAACTTCGTCGGTTTCTCTTGTCACACGTAGGGCCTACCATGCCTACCGGATGTTTCCTTCCTCCAGTATTGTCCAGGCAGTACTTAGTCTAGTCATGTTATTGTTAGTCCATACGACCATAGTCATGATCATTATAGTGCAGGACCGAATACCACGATTCATGAACACTGAAAGTCAGCACAGAGGTCATGGAAACGAGATTTCTCATGTAGGCCTCGTAGGTTTTTTTGTTTCCACGGTGTTATGTAATCAAAAAGCATTTCTGTGTGGCGCCACCAACGGTACAAACATGGAAAGTTTTTAAACAACCCGCAGAGTTGGTCCACATTTTTATCTCGTTATTACTTTTTATTCAGAAGTCACAGTGCCACTTTACATATATAACGTATTACTTGGATACCATGTGAGTATAACCATGATTAAACTGTATTCCCATTTTTTTCACCACCGTTGGGGTTGCTCTTTAAATGGGGTTCGGGGTAGAGTATGTCACTGTATGTACGTTATGAAAAATTTTATTTTTTTACGTGAATCCAAAGAATACTTTTAACTAAAATTGGAAATACATGTACAAAGGAGAAAGTAACAGGGATGGAATATTGCATCCTTCATGGTCATGATGGTTATCCCAAACTGCTTGATTATTAAGGTTTGCCGTAGACTAATAGTCATGTTGATTTTGGATATATTCAACTGCGAGGTACATTCCTACAGGCCTGTGAAGATTCACCTTTATTTACATGTATCCAAAAGGAGAGCATTTTCCCCCTGCGTTTTAATATTTCATACTTCGAGGGGCACCTTTTTAAAAAGGTCATGTTTTGTTACTCTCGTCACACAGTACACTCAACTCAGCGTTCTGAAGTTCACAGGTTCAGGTTGAAAAAACACAAGATGGGACCTTTGCAGCACATGCACTGCACGTATATGTACAATGTACATGATACATGCATGTGTATGGTATGTCTCGTCTACCCCGCTGTTGCCTGTTGCCTCTTGTTATTTCCCTATTCTTTAACAAAACTGCCACTTAATCATACATTTACATGTACAGTACATGTATGTCTCACACTAGCATCTCATATTCCTCTGTAAACCACACAGGCATTATAAATAAACAAATATAGAGGTGATAAACAAAAAGGTAAGGATATTAAAGCCTACTTCAGCTAAAGACTTGCATTGGGCACCCACAAAGGAATCAAATTCAGTCCCGTTGTACAATAATGCTTCCTTTAAAATTTAGAGTTGATGACACAATGTTGAAGTTCTACTGAAATACGCATATATGGAATGTAGTATCAATCAACTGATGTATGGGATTGGAGTAACAGAGTGATGGAGATGTCAAATTAACAAGAGGGTAGTTGACAAAAGATTTTGTACACAGGGCGTTGCTAAAACCTGGGTGTCCAAATGTGTACTGGTGTAAAAGCCTACACTGTACAGTACATGTATACTGTATGTGTGGTTAACTCTGACACGAGCAATAGAAATGGTGGGAATGGAACTATGTGGTCAGTGCACAGGCAGTACACTGGTAAGAGCGGTTATGGTTCCCAAGGGGAAAATTAGGTCTGGAGTTGGAATGGTTGCTATGGTGACTGCCATAGGGGCTGGAAAGGCCAAAACAACTATTTTGTCATTCAGGGATTGGAACTTAGGTCAAGGGGTCTTGCACAAAATTTTACACAAGTCATGTACATGTAGTGTAAACTAGAGCCTAAACGTAAGATGGCAAGCGGATCATATAAATTAAAATATAGAAATCAAACAAAGGAAAATAATGCACTTCGTCTGCCACTACATTTAAAAGCATACCATATGCCATGTGATTGCCTGAAGATTATGAGCATAGATTTCCTTACAATGGTCCCAGTTAACCAGCAGTGGGGCAACCTAGGGGTGTTAGCCCCAGGGCCCCCGCAGATATCAGGTTTTGTGCTTTTGTTTTGTTTTGTTCTTCGGTCGCTGTTGTTTTCTGAAAGACAAAGATACACTTAGCATACAGGTTGTTAAACATAGTAGCCATAAGTAGAAAAACCTCAAAGAGAATTTGCCAATGCCGAATCTCTTGCTTGCATCTCCCACAGGATAAAATGATTGGATGGATTAAATACTGATGTTACATTCCTTGATGTATTTGAAAATGTGGTTACTGTGTTGTTTGTGTATGAGAAGTTGAGTAAGGTTCATCTACATGTACATGTTAGAGAGACCTAGTGATTGTTTGAGGTTTTGTCTTTGTGGGATAAATTTGTTACATTTAAGGAGAAAGTGTTTGATGTCATCCGTGCATGCACACACTTCGCAAAGTCCATCTGGGTGTTTTAATACCAGTTTGATATAGGAATTTCTTCAGGCCTCTACATACTTCAAGACGTAATCTGTGCATGATAACTTCCTGATGACGTTTCATCCTCCAGCTCATGAAGGGGAACGGAAGGCTCACACTTGATGTTCTTGACGGGATCAAATTTCGGGATTGTTTCTGCTAATTTTGGGTTACTTGGTTGGTTTATTTCCGTACATCACAATTAGAACATATACATGTAGAAACAATTTTATTACAGAATGAAATAAGAGATGATGAATGGTGGATACCAGACAGTAAGCAAATGCTTGTTTTTGGCCTGGTTCCTTATTTGTCACACTAATATCCATATGCAGCTATCATTACAAAATAGACGACACAGAGAGAGAGTAAAGAAAGTAAAATTACCTAAGATACAGCTGAACCTCAGAATTAAGCAAAGATTTTGATCGTCATTGGGAAGTGACACACAAATCTAGATATGACTGCTTCATTATTAAAGATGTGAATGCACAAGAGAAATGTGAGTTTTTGTTTGAGAGTGTGTTTGATAAAGTGTGTTTCTATCCAGATGGGGGATGGTCGACAGTGTCTTTCTTGGTGGCTAATTTAGCAATCTGATCTGGGATACCACAGTGACTGGGGATCCATTCAAAATTTATGCTATTGTGCTGGTTCCATATGCTGATGAGAGCGTGGCGTTTATCGCAAACAATTTTATGTTAGGGAAAGGGTTTGGATATACATGTATGGCTCGAATTGTGCTGAGACAGTCACTGAAAATACATACATGGAGGGGGTGTGACATACTCGAACCATTCCACAGCAAGAAGTATTGCAAAAATTCTGCTTCGAATACGGAGATACTGTCATGTAGCCGATATCCTTTGGTGTACTTAAATTGGGGAGCGATGAAAGCGATGAAGTACTGGTTGTGAGTTTGCCGGTTACTTGATGGAAGGAATCATTTTGATGATTGTTGTGAGCATGTACTGCATTTTAGCTCTGTAAGTTTAATAGAAATTGTCATGGAAGGGCTAATGGAGAGTCCCCACATTCAGTCGAGAGTCTGTAGAGAGAAAACTGTGGATAGCACCAGTGCATATTTTGAAGACGTGGTACTGGGTACTGTCAAACTTATAAGCAAAGATGATGCAGCATTAAATGCTTCACATCCATACTCCAGGATAGGCTTGATAAGATTAGTATACCGATGATGGAGAGTGTGCAGTATTCTCCCCAGATACATCTAAGAATGGTAAGCCTCTTACTGCATTTAGCTACAACATTAACATTGTGTGTTTTCCAAATTAGTCTGTTATTGAAGATGACTCCTAGGAATTTAGCCGAAGGTTGTAGTGGAATGACGTTGTTATTGATATTTAAAGAAATGTTGGCGTGTTTCTTGGTGGTGAAAAGAACAGCAATTGTTTTGGCAATCGATTGTTTCAAATCCCATTCGTCACACCAGTTGCTGATGCTGTTTAGGTTGTTGGATTTTCTTTTCTAGGTAGGAGATATTTCAGTTCGACTTCCATAGAGCAATGTCAGCAGCATATTGTGAGAAAGTGATTCCGTTAACACTATGAGAAAGATCATTAGCAGCAATATTAAACAAAAGAGGACTGACAGCACTCTGTTTAGGGACACCATTATCCAAGATTCTTTCTGCTGATAGACATTTAGGGACACCATTATCCAAGATTCTTTCTGCTGATAGACATTTAGGGACACCATTATCCAAGATTCTTTCTGCTGATAGACGTTTAGGGACACCATTATCCAAGATTCTTTCTGCTGATAGAAAGTTGTTGATTTTAACTTGTATTTTTCTGTCTGTGGAAAAGTTGTTGATCCATTTGGCGATTCTCTCATTCTTTGCTAAAAAGATCAAGTTGGGAGTTAGGACTAGGACTTCACAAAACATTAACTACAATGAATATACGAAGTCTGCTCAATTAAGTTTAATAGCTCCGGAACATGGAACAAAACAAGACTGATTTCTAACTGAACCATATTTTTGGACATGAATACTTGAACTTGTACCTAACAGATACGTTACCACCATTCTACTTGTAGAAAAGTTGTCTTGGAAACAAAATCTGGGGATGCTTAAGTCAATATGAATTTCAGAGCTGCACATCATGAAAGACAGACGAAAAAAGAGGGATTTCAATGATGGTGTTTGACAGGTACCTACATTGGAAAACACCAGGTTTTTTCCTAGATTGTGAAAACAAGGTACAGAAATTGTCTCGATGAGACCTGCACATAATGTCCACTGTTACATCAATCACTTTGCATGTTGCAACTTCACATTTATTTGCTATGAGTTAAGTAATTAGTCATTATCATTTTGATGAACCGGCAATTATATTTCTGGTAAGATTGAGAAAGTAAAATCTACACTGCCAAGCTGTTTTTGGTGACATATCTGGCAAGTCAGATTAAAAATACGATATATGGGGGTATTGCAGTTAGCAGCACTGTACACAAAGCTGTAAAGCTGTTGTAATCAATCATAATAATGATGTTATGGGAAAACTCCACACTTCATACGACAGAGGCATTGTCAAAAACTAAAAACTACACATGCCAAATTCTGCAAAAATATTTGTACTTGTACATGTAAGACCCGTTCATAAACCTAGGCCGTTGGACATGCATTATTGATTTATTTTTGTACATCATATTTATTCACTTCTTGCTGCACCAAACCCTTAATGACATTGAGTGTTGCTGTCTTTATCTTAAAGAATCTCTCTGATTTTCCAATTGGCGTGGCTGCTACCTTGGTGAGAACATCCTCAAATGAAACCCATATGTCATCTGGAGGGTGGGGCCATTTGTATCTGCAGCCCTGTTTAGACTGTGACCATGAAAGTGATCTTTGTATTACGATCTTCTTCAGCTTCCAACACCTTGCCAATGAACCAGTTGTGTGGGTGCATTGGGGCAACATGGTCACCAATGGCTGGCACGATGCCGCTGTCCTCCCCCCATTAGCAGTGACTTGCACAGGTTGGGTTGTTCAATTTAACAGGTTTTTTTACCCATCCTTGACACCTCTCCGATCTTTTCAAACTTTGACGCAATAACAAGACACAGTGCATGGCAGCAAATGCTTTCTGCAGATGTTATCTGCAGTTATCACGTGTGTTTTCATTGTTCCTGGATGGGGTGGCAGTCCAATGTGGATAACTGTCGAGCCGCCTCATCATATTCTACTTTGTGTTAAAGTATGTCAGGGATTCCCTTCTGCTGTGAAGATGCCCATGAGAAGAAATCATCGGTGTCTTGAATAACAACCTTTCCCTGCTTTGATAGCGCTTCTGCTGCCTGACATTTTGCCGTGCCACCAATACTGTCGCTTGCACTTCTGCCGAGACCACTTTTAAAATAGTTCCAACAAGCCTTTACACCAAAGAGATCGCTTTGTCGACAAGTTGTGATGAAGATAAAGCGATTACAATATTGGGACAATGGACTATCGGGGTCCAGTAATGGAGCATTTCCAAGTGAGGGACCTGAGCCTCGATGAGAGGGACTATTTCATTGACGATAGTGAAAACAGCCTTTGCATTATGGTCCCGAAGGTCGGACACAAATACAAAGCTCTTGTGCTGCATCTGACCATCGACATCATTGCAGTAAACCACTACCGGGTGCAAGGTTATGTTTGTGCTGTTCCAATAAGCACTCGGGATCTCCTGAGCATTCTGGCAAGTAAAATTTTCGGAAAAGTCCATCTGAACTATGGCATGATTTGGGGGTAGGTGTTTTTTTTTTTCAAATCTGCCAGTGCCTTGTGCTGCTGACAAACTCTCTCGACCTGAGCTAGAAACAGTCTGTCGTTGCACTTACCTCAGTGAACTCATGTCGACTTTCCTGTACCTTTACAATCCTTTACAATTCTTTCGTTTCATTGACCTCAACCTTCTGCCAAGTTTCGTACGCTACTTCCGTGTCGTCAACCTTTGAAAGCAGTTCTGCTATGGTCTTTGGTTACAGTTCTACTGACTGTATCAGGGTTTGCGGAAATGTTGATTCCCAGGGATTGCAAACAGCTGATTTTGGTGGCTTGTGCATAAGCATTTCTTTCTGGAAAGCAGTGATGTGAGTTCATCGTACTCTGGTCTCATCTTGCAGAACAGGGAGAAGGAAAGCTGAATATCCAGGTTGTCAACACAAAATTTTGCATGCAGATTACTGAGGTAGTCATTCAAGATGGGTGTCTGTGTCTTCTAGTTTCCATCCTTTGTGGCATCTCGCTTGCCAGGCATACAGCGTCTGACATCATCCCTCTCAAAAAGAAGTTAGATGACTTTGTCGATTAGTGATTCCCTTAATGCTGCCTTATGCGTCAGTGTCCCACTTTGCGAAAACCACTCTGATACTTGAATAGTAGGTTGTGGGCTTCTAAAAACTAGGAACAGCGATAATTAAACATTCGTTCCATGATTTTACATAGATAAGAAGTCAGAGCTTTACATGTAGGTCTGTAAGAAGAAGAGTGACCAGGGTCTTTTTGAAGTTTTAGAATGTGTATGGGTGTAGCATCTTTCCATTGCTTAGGACATGTAAAAGGATGCCAGATTAAGTTGATGATAATCAGGACTATAACAGAAAGGCCAACATCTATCCTAGTGTATAAGCATGTGTCAGCTAAGACAAGTTGTATGTAGAACAGTACATGTATGCTGTCAGCTCAGGTTAACACCAAAGGGGATTCCTCATCTTGCTGCTCACCATGGCTATGTGGCCATGTTACTTGCTGGGCATCAATACTGCCTGTTTTTACTGTGAAATTAAAGAAACTTGCAGATTTCTGAATTTTTATCTTGACATGAATTGAAGGATTTTTTTTTCTACTTCAACATTACAATTTTGGATTTCCATCCTCTTCTTTCCCATTATACAAAATAGTACCAGGAAGTGTACCGGAATCGCTTTGTGAACCCCATTGATCAAGGAGTTGGCAGGTGAGTTACATGTATGGTCATTGGAAAAACTGGATCAGGAGAATTGCGAGTGGTCTTTCTAAAATGCTAAGCCTTGATAAAAACCTTGCTAAAGAAGCCAAAATACTTCAGCATTTTGCATGGATTTAGTTGTCCTGGACTTTAGCAAATCCAGGTAAATTGAAATACATGGCCCCCTGTGTTCCATTGTTTTACTGTACTTTGATTGTACCTGAATCTGGGGCTTACTTAAAATGTCCTAGAGAGTTTAGCACTAGATTATTGCACAGCATCAAGCAAGTCAGATCCATGATGGCTACTTGTAAGAGTGCTAAACCAATCACACCTCTCATTTCACCCATCAGAAAGGACTAGGTTAAAAAGAAAAAGAAACACCATTCATCAAGCATTTTTGAATACATTATTTCCCAGACGGACAGGATGGGTGCTAAACAGGGAAGTTCGCAAAGACAGTGAAGGCTATGAGGTCTTTGATGACTACTGGTCAGACTCAGGTAAGTACTCACTATTTAAAGTATCTGAATGAACTTAAAATCAGCTGGCTCTGCTGTCGGGTAGAATTTGAGGTTGCGTGACATAAACCCGGGAGATTTTCAAGAGTTTCCGTTTTCAAAATTCTTCAAAACATTATAGCTTCATTTACTGGACGTTTACACCCACACGAATTACTGTCTGGTGACTACTCTATCTGACAGACAGCATCTATTGATGCCCGAGTATTTCAGCCAGGCCTGCCACCTTGTAAAAAGAGCCCAGATTGTGCAGTGTTATGTAACTTTCTTTGGTTCCTGAAACTGGCAAAGTGTGCTACTGGTGTCTTTCAATGGGGACCAGATTAGTGTGCAGTGGTAGGTATCGCTCATTGCTGGAGCACTTTTGTCCCCGGTGGTAATCTGCTCGTACTGAATGCCACAAACAGTGGAATAATCTCTCTCAAAAAAAAATACTACACAAAATCTTATATAGATAGCTATGTCCTTATATTTTGTCAAAGTCCAAGTTTCATGCCTGTTTCCAAATTTTGCAAAATGTAAAGGAATGTGGACCATGTGTCACTGTACAGAGATTTTAAACCTCAAAAAGTGTGGAGGCTATAAAAAGCAGAAAAAAGGGCCAAGTTGGATTTGTCCAAACTTTCAAGGATTAGGGCTGAGCACAGATTAAATAATCCATTTATATGTCTTTCTCTCCCCAAACCTCAGGCTATAATCGCCATCCTTGATCTTACCTTTTTACTTCAATTAGGTGATGAAAGTGTTGATCTATCCCTCCGTGCCAATAAAGAAAATAAAGGAAAAGCATATAAGGTCAGTAATTACTGAATTCTTTATTTTAAACAAGTATTACTTTAAAATGTGACAATGGACTTCATGAGTGGCACCTTTAAAAGTTCATTCATCCCTGATTTACATCTCTGACTTTCTCTGTAGCTGAGTTCTCCACTGAAGAGCATGCCTGACTTCACTCCAAGCTCCCGCGCCAGCACTGATGTGGAACCCCTGTCCGACATTGGCCTTAAAGCCGGCATTTCAACTTCCTCCAAAACCTCCAACGGTGCTGCAGATCCTGCCAAGTCAGTCCAAATCAGTCGGGCAAAGACCAGCGAGGAGACCTTGCTCACTGAAGTGGAGAATGGAACAGCCAGCATGGAGGATGAGGCTGAGGTTGCCATAGCAACACCAAGCCGTGATGGAGGGATACAAGAGTCAGACATCACCGGCAGCATCATCAAAGGAGGCAATTCTTTCCAGGTTCCCAACTCAGCGCTTCAGGAATTCAAGACCAAGACGAGGTCAGAGCCTTCTTTTCCCCATAATTTTTGCCTCAACCTGCTTGCTGTTTTCTCCTTGAGAATGCACATCAAAGACTCACATGCATTGCTAGTGAAGAATACAACTTTTGTAATTCTTTTCTTTCAGGCTGAGTTTTGGCAATGATGTGGACAACACACCAAGGACATCCACTCGTAGGAGTTCAGCTAGAGCAGTAAAGAGTCATTGTGATGATGGAAGCACGTCATCTGAGGCTACCTTAAAAGGCTCTCAGTCAGACGAGAATTCAGAAGGCCTTAGCACAGCCAAAGAGGAGATGTCACCAGAAAGAGCAGAACTTGGGACTTCTGTTATGATACGGAAGACGGTGCCACAGACCAATGACAAAACACACCAATCTGTTGAAGAAATATCGTCAGAGAAAGACCTACCAGATGAAGCCTTATCCAAACAGATGTCAGACCGGGAAATGTGAGAACAAATGAAATTAACCTCTTTGAGCTTCTCGAAAAAACGAAGTTGTTATTGGTAAAATTCTTCCTGTTTATTGCTTATTGTATCACTCATCTTCACATTGCAGAATGGAGTCAAAGAATGAAGCTGTGAAACAGAAACCCACAAGGAAAAGTACAAGCGGAAGACCAAGAGCACCAAAGCAACCAACTGACAGTGATAACCAGGAGACAACCGGTGCACGGAAGTCGACAAGAAGAAGGAAAAGAAATGTAAGGCTTGCAGAGGAAGATACTTCGGGAGATGAAGGGATGTTCATATCACTCCACAAATCAGTTGTGAACCAGCAGGACCGAACCAAAGAGGCTGCATCAGACGTGATTAATATTGACAGAAATTATGAATCTTTCCATGATGCTGATGATGAAGAAATGGTGGAAATTGTGGATGATGATAGCTCCTACAAATCCACCTTGAATCCCAGGGCCAAGAGTAGAGGAACTGTGAAAAGAGGCACAACACAAACCAAGTCGAAGAGAGATGATGATGATTTGCAGTCTAAAACACAGAGTCAGAGAGGAAAACAAAAGAAGGCAGACAAGCAAGAGGCACCTGCCAAGGATTTTGTCGATCTTGTGACTGATGAAGAAGTTCCAAGTTCTACCAAGGAGATAACTGAAAGCATGCAAGGACAGCAATCTTTAAAAGGTTCATCCAGTGAAGAAAGCAAAGCAGATGTTGAGAAAGCAAGGCAACAGCCCAAGACATCACAGTCAAGGAGGTCCAAGGCTAGAAGTAGATCACGGAGGGCAGCTACGAACAGCAGTGACATTGAGAAGTCTGGTGCTAACGGCTCCAACTTGGATACTGCAAAAAGAAAACAGTCCAGGAGACGACAGACCAAGACAGCCCAGCAGAGCTTGAGTGGTTTCACAGGCAGTAACGAGACTAGCTCAACAGGAACAGATGAAGATGATGGTAGAAGAAAGAGCAGACGGCAGAAGCCTAAATTACATGCAGCTGCTTCCACGATGGAAGACAGTAAAGGAGCTGAAGATGTAATAGAAGACAAAGTCCAGAACGTAGATAGTAGCAAGGTCAGCAGGAAAAGAAATAGGTCCTTGAAGAGCAAGAAGCCCAGTGACAGTGAGACTGTTGAAGAAGCAGAAACTGAGGCTGATACCAACGGTGTGGAGGCAGTTGATCAGGAAGGGCTTCTCCCAAACTCAGCGCACCAGGAAAAGCAGTCTTCATTCAAGCGTCCAACCACAGTATCAAGGATATCAGCAAGGAAGAAACGCACCAGTGTGCACTTCTGCAGCGTGGAGGTCATCTCTGATGAACCCTCGCTGCCTACGGTAGGGGAGGTACCAGTTGCAGGGAAGGCACCTCTGTTAGGAGCCATCAAATCCCCATCTCCTCAGCATGCTCTTGATGTAGACGATAGTGACAGCTCTCCAAGAAAGAAATTTAAGGGGACTTCAGGTGTGAAACTTGTTCAAAGATGCTCCACCTCCAGGAGATCAGAAGTTGGTGAGGAGAAACCCGACAAGATGCCTCCAAAGAGAACCAGTGAGAATGCTGTTGAAGCCGTGGTCACCAAGAAACAGTCTGAGCCATCATTATCGCCAGTGGTGAGGGGTGGCAGGAAGAGAGGAGGAAAGAGGAAGCTCTACTCTGGTGATCTACCAAGCAGCTTCCTCAATGATCCATCTGTCCCAGGCCCTCCTTCTGCTGCTGGGATAACAAGTAAGGGCCATGCAACAGCTGAAGACAAGGAGAATCCAGTCGGAAGTGAAGAAAACCCGACCCAGGAGGCTCCAGTGAAGACTGTCACTGCATCTGGCAGGGGAAGAGGTAGAACTAAAGGCCGAGGCAGAGCCAGAGGTGGTGGTACTACGAGGAAGATGAAAGCTCAAGAAATCCAAGGCAAGATGGTTAATATTTAGGATCTAACACTAGTTAATTGCAGTTTCTTTACCAGTTTGTTTTTCACTGCTTATACTCTCCTCTGTTGCTGATGGTAACAACCCTCCCTTCTCCAGCTTTGGATGATTTGCAATTGGTTGTCTTCCAGGGGTCCATGTTTTACCTGACATGGCTCTAAAAGTTTTCAGACTCTTGGTGAAGTCGTTGAGAAGCACCAACCTGTCAGTGATAGACATTGTTTATTGATCAAAAAGTCAAGTAAATGTGAAATTTGCCATTTGCTTGGTAATATGAGCCAGAATAAGATGACTTTCTGCTTAAGATAAGCGTATTTTTCCAGTCCTGACCAAAGTGTGTGGATTGCTGTGAGGAAGAAATGTTTTTAATACAAGCTTGGGCAATACGAGAGTTTGGTTAAAACGAGCGCTTTTTCTAGTCCGGTTGAGTGCAGATGTACAGTGTGTTCTTATTTCTCTACTTTGAAAACAACTTGTCATTCAACGAACCCATTCAATACAAGTGCCGTTGTACTAAGTGCGGTAATAATGCTGGCCAATGCACAAATGCGGTTTGGGGGCATCATAGATTCCTGAGCAATCAAAGAGTTTTCTTTGTGGGCACTTTCATGCTACTTGATCTGAACAAACACAACCTACAATGGGTGTGTGCGATTCCCAGGCCACCAGAGGGCCCGATCAGAACAAACTCATTACAAACTCCCCACCAAAACATGAAACAGAAAGTAGAGAGATGCCCCTACCCAACTTATAAACTAACGTAAAATTCATTCGTCACTTAAATCCTTTCTGAATGTCCTTTTGGAAGTCATATTGCAAACTCTTTTCCTGCTAAAGCATTACCAAGGCCCAAACTACCCCCTCTGTTGTCCACCCCAAAATTCATTAGCTTCCCTCACTTGGTACTGTACATGCATAAAATTGCATCTCTCTAGTCAGTCACCAACTAATACGTTAATGTACTTACGATCATGTTCTCTCTGTATGAGTAACACACAGTGCAGCAGGTTACATCCCTTTGACTGGTGATGAGTTTGCTTGACCTATTGTTGTGTTTTATGACTTTTCTGCTTTGTTCTTCTGATTTATAAAACATGTTTTGTTGAATTATTCTTTATCCAATCTTCATATACTAGTCATTCCACTTTCATAAAGAACATGTTTGAACTTTTTTGAAAGCAAATTCATTACCCTTACCAGTGGGAAAATTCTTAAAATTAGACGAGAATCCAGATACGGTAATACGAGAGAATTAAGCAAGTCCCAAGGCCCTCGTATTAATGAGAGTTGTCTGTACTATTTGCTGTCATTTTCCCTGGAACCTTAATCCTTTTACGCCGCCTCCAGGATCAGACGACGTAGTCTTGAATTTTCTGAACAAGTACGAAAGCGGTAAGGAGAGTGAATCAACAGATTCTGAGGGTGGACCTGTAACCATTGCAACAACAGAAGCACCTGAGACAATGATGGATGATAGCACAGGCTCTACCCCATCAGGAGGCATGTGCACTACAGGTCTGTGTTGCCCTTGCTTTAGTGTTCTCTTTGTTTTTGACCCATTGGGATATACCTGCATGAAGGAATTTTAAACTTTTTGGAAGAATCAAGAAATTGAGAATATGATTGTCTTGGAGTCTTACTTGTAGTTCTTTTTTTTAACCTGTTTTCTCCTGTAAAGGGTCTCGTCTGGCCCAAGAACAACTAAGAAAGCACATTCCTGAGAAATCCTAACTGTTTGATTATCAGATGAAAGGTTAATTCATTACTCTGTGGTCATTTTTAACTCAGATAGTTAGTTGTGTTCCAATAGCCTCATTTTCCATTTGCTGCAGACTATGGGATAGAGAAACCACCCCCCCTCCACCTTCGTGTTGGTCATTGTTACACTGGTATCTCAGGAATTCTTTTCAGACATTTAGGGGGATGTGTTAAGTGACAATAGGCTGGAGAGTGTTTAGGGATTGGACTTGTGGGGGGTACCCCTCTGTCCCATTTCGTGCCTGGTATATCATTTTTTATGATATGATATCATTTTTTATGATTTTCACGGTGTGTTCTCAGTTGTGAAAAAAAATCACGTTTACTCGGTTGGTAATACAGTGTGAATATACACATTGATGTAAGGCGAAAACCTGGTATAAACTCAGCATAAACCCTGACATAAAGCCAAGTTAATACCAGTGACTTCTTTTTTGCATGGAACACAGCTTTAAAAATTGAGAGTGACGCATATCAAGTGAAAAAAAAGTCTAGGGCAAGCAGATGTATGACATAATGGAACGGAAATCAGGAACAAATTTTCTGTGGGCAAATGGGAAATGCTAGTCTTCATGAAGCAGAAGTATCTCAAGGCTTAATTTATGTTTCCTTTCCATCCATTTCAGTATATCCTGAGCCAACACCACGATCCATTCTGAAGGATACTGCTATTAGCAATGTCAATGCTCGCAAGAAGAACCTTACATTACAGTTCTTTGAAGTGCCTAAACGGAAGCCAATCATTGGTAAGTCCCCTGGTTAAAGCATCTAATTGACTCAAAACTCATGACTCATAAATTGCATTTATGTTCACCAGTAAAGCATTTATTGAAATATTAAAGCATCATTGACTCTTCCAATTGCCATGTTGAGGAATTCTGAACCCGTGACTTGGATCCAGATTTGAACCC